CTAATTTTATAAATGAGAAAAGTGAGGCAAAAGAAGATAAGCAACTTGCCCAAGAATAAGCTGTATATGTAAATGCGAATCAGTTTCCAGAGTCCACCAAGACAGAAGGGGTGAACTGATACTGGGCAGATCAGCAGGCCAGATGTGTGTCTGCCAACATAATTTCAGTTTTTTAAAATTGAGCCAATGTTTAAAACTTGGAATATTTGCCATTAAAAAAAAACAAAAAACAAAGTCCAGATCTCCAGCTTCTCTTGAAAACCAGAAAAGTTGGCAACATTTGCTGGCCTGACCTAGATTCATTACCCAGCCAGCAACAACGAGCTGAACCACCACGAGGACAGGGACGTCCTCTGCAGGTTGCCACAGTTACCATGACTCCTCGTGGCAGGGGTCAGTCAGCAAACACTTCCTGTAAAGGGCCAGAAAGTCCACACTCACGACGGGGATCCGTTCTGAGAAACACATGCACTGTTAGGCGATTTTGTGGTTGTGCGAACACCACAGAGCGTACTTACACAAACCTAGATGGTACAGCCGACTACACACCTAGGATCCACTACAATCTTAGGGAACCCTGTCTTATATGCGGTCTGTTGTTGACTGAAACATCATTATGTGGCACGTGACCGTATTTTAAGCTTTGCAGGACAAAAAGCGTCTGTCGCAACTACGCGACTGCCATTATAGTGTGAAAACAGCCATAGACAACATGTAAACTAACCAGAGTAGTTGTGTTCCAATAAAATTTTATTAACAAAAACAGGCTGGGGGCGGGATTTGGCCCACAGCACATGGTGTGCCAACCCTGCCCTACTGCCTCTCCACAGCTATCACAGCGCGCCCACTGCCATCGAGTTGAGAAATCCTTCTCTCAACCCATTTCTCTATCACAAAGTGGGCGAGCGCTTACGCCTCCGGCTAGCCTCCCCAACAACACGCCCTGCCCTCTGCAGACATGCCAGTCTTTGCCCAGCACCTGAGGATGAAACATAGCATGTTGTCAGGGCCACCCCCAGGCACCCCAACTGCTTCCCAGAGCCAGACCAGGCCTCGACACCTCCCCCTGTATGGGGAAATCGGGCCCTGGCCTACCTCTCTAGCTCTGCACACTTCCCCTGGACCCTTTTCCCTGTTCCCACAGCTTCCATAATCCCGTGCATGCAGATCACCCAAATCTTTCTTCAGATACCTGCCTGAGTCCCTCGACTCTCTGCTCCAGCCATCAGCAACTCCATGAAGGGCCCCGAACTGGCCAGGCTTCTTCATGCCCCTCACCCCCACTGAGAGTGTCCATCCCACCTGTCCACTTACTTATTTCTTAATTCCCAGCTTGAGCCTCTCTGCCCTGTGAAATGTTTCCTACACCCACAGGGAGAAGTGGCACTTGTAACAACCAACAACCAAGTGACTTCTGAGTGCAATGATCTACCGTCCCCTCCACTAGGACATAGGTTCCTGAAAGGCAAGCATTATGGCCAGGAAAAGATTTTTTTTTTTTTTTTTTGCTGGGAAAGATTCACTCTGAGCTAACATCTGTTGCCAATCTTCCTCTCTACTTTTTTTTTCCCCAATGCCCCAGCCCATAGTTGTATATTTTAATTGCAAGTCCTTCTGGTTCTTCTACGGGAGCTGCCGCCACATCACAGCTACTGACACACAGGTGGTGTGGCTCCACGCCCAGGAACCGAACCCAGGGTGCCGAAGCGGAGTGTGCCGAACTTTAACCGCTAGGCCATCAGGGAAAGATTTTTCGAACAAGACACACAACACTGACCATAAATGAAAAAATACATTTCATCATGTTAAAATTAAGTATGGTTGTTCAACAAAACATGCCTTAAAGAAAGTATAAAGATAAGTTACAAGCTGGAAGCAGATATTTACAATAAGCACAAAGGATTAAAATCAAGAATATATAAAGAACTCCTACAGGGCTGGCCCCGTGGCCGAGTGGTTAAGTTCACGCGCTCTGCTTTGGCAGCCCAGGGTTTCGTCGGTTCGGATCCTGGGCGTGGACACGGCATCGCTCGTCAGGCCACGCTGAGACGGTGTCCCACACAGCACAACCAGAGGCACCCACAACTAGAATATACAACTATGTACGGGGGCGGGGGGTGGGGGAGACACTTTAGGGAGAACAAGAGAAAAAAAAGAAGATTGGCAACAGATGTTAGCTCAGGTGCCAATCTTTAAAAAAAAAAAAAAAAAAAAGAGGGACCCGGCCGAGTGGTCAAGTTTGGGCACTCTGCTTCGGCCAAGGTTTCGCCGGTTCAGGTCCTGGGCGCAGCCATGCTGAGGTGGCATCCCACATGCCACAACTAGAAAGACACACAACTAAAAATACACAACTGTGTACCAGGGGGCCTTGGGGAGAAAAAGGAAAAAAAAATACAATCCTAAAAAAAAAACTCCTACAAACCAATTTTTTTAAAAAAGCACCAGGAAACCCACAGAAAATTTGGTGAAAGACATGAACAAATATTTCACAGGAAACACATATGCCAATAAACTTATGAAGAGATGTTCAATGTCAGGGCTCGGGGACATAGAAATCAAGATTCCAAAGAATCCATTCTATACCCACTTGATTGGCAAAAATTTTAAAAGCTTACATACAGCAAATTTTGGGAAGAATGTGGAGCAACTGGAAGTCCCAAACTCTGCTGGTGGTGGAGTGGAAATTGGTACGACCACCTCAGAAAAGTCTGGCAACATCTACAAACATTATTTACCCTATGACCCAGCAAAATAACACCCCGAAGTTCAGACCCAAGCACACTTCTGCACACGTACAAGAGGAACCATGGATGCAAATGTCCACAGCAACACGCTCGCAATAGCAAAAACCCAGAAAGCACCAAGTGCCCGTGGACCGAGGATCAGACGCATAAACCATGTGCACACCATGGAATATTCCTCAGTAGTCAATACAAATGAACCAGATGCCATGCAATAACATGGATAAATCTTACCTATATATTTTTTTACTTTCCTTAGAATACACAGGTACCAAACTATATATAAATGAAAGCAAGGAGACCATGGTTATCTCAGGTGGGAACAGGGGAAAGATGAAATGATTAGATGTAAATTTTGTTTCAAGACCCTAGCTTTTGTTTTGGGTGGATGGAATGCAGGAGCTTAATACATTCACTAAAAATAACTTAGTAAATAAGTAAAAGCAAGCCACACGTGACCACCGATGAGTGTGTATTAATCTATTTCTGTCTACCTGAGGTAAAAATGAAAACAAACACACAAAAGAGACCGTTTCCTTCATCTTTGTACTCCTAGGCCTGGCCCCCGATTTCTGCAGGCGCGTGTGGAATGAATGAGGACTTTTCTCCCTAGTCCACGGCCCCACCCCTGTTGGTGCCCTGAGCACCATGTGCGTGTCTGAAGCCAAACACCCTCCCTTCCTAACTCTCCTTTTCCTCCGAGATTCCCTGGCTCCACTCTGCCCCAAGCAGTTAGGAGAAAACCTGGGATTCCCGCTCCTCAGCTTCTCCCCTACAGCCCCACAGCTGCCTCGGCTTCCTCTCTGCTCCCGCCTCACCTCGTCAGCCCCAGCGGCCAGCATCTGGCTGCGACCTTGCTCAGTCCTCTCTCCCACTGGCCTCTCTAATTCTTGTCTCTCCTAGTCCACCTCAGAGGCGGGTGCAAGACTGAGCTTCCTGAAGTATTGCTCTGACCCTGTCTCCTCCACACCTGTGCTGGACTTCGGGGACAAAGTTCAAGTTCCTTGGGTTGACACTCAAAGCCCATTGCAATGCCTCCCTATCAAGAGTACTTGCCAGGGCACTTCCCTTCAATACACTCTTGCATCTTCATCTCCCCCTTCTTGATCCCTCCCAGAGTTGAAGTGATGACCCGCTACCCTCACATACATCCGGTTTGCCCACCGCCATCCTCACCTGACCCATACTTCCAAGGCCCAATTTAAACAGCACCTCCACGATGCCTTGAGGTGCCCAGCTGAAAGAACACACCTCTTACTAACTTCCACAGCATTCTGTCGGTCCCTTACAGTTCTCTATATCCATTCTAGCTCTTCAACGAGACTATGAACCTGAGGGCAAAATCTCACGTCCACCCCCGTGTCAGGGGCAGGCTCGATGGAAGGAATAGTCACAAAGAAAACAATCCAATCGAATGCACGCCACTTTCCAGCCGGTGTGCTCACTGAAAATGCCCAGTGTGGAATTCTGCTAAAATCCGCTGCGCCCCAGAGCCTTGGCGTGGGCCGCAAAACCCTCACACTCAGCCCTCGCCTCCCCTTCCAGCCTCCTCCACCCTACACCCAAGCCTTGTTGCTCCAGCCACATGAGCTGCTTACAGGGGCCCACGAGTGCCATGGAGCTTCACGACACCGCGCACGCCAAATCCTCTGCCAGCCTACTCCCCCACTTTCTGGGTCCTACTCTGTCTTCACAACTCACCTTAGTTATCATCTTCCAGAAGCCTTTCTGACCTTCCTAGCTTCCCTCCTACCCCTTCTTGGAGGAATGGGGGCTCTGCCCTGTGAGTCCCCCACCTCCCAACACACATCCCACTGACAACACCTTCTCACTATCTATGGTTCATCTGTCTTTTCCACCAAGCAATGAGCTCCCAGACGACAGAGCTCTGGTTCCTCATCTCTCTACCCCCAGGACTGAGCGTGGGGCTTGACGCAAAGGAGGCATCCTGTTGTGTCCATGTAACAAAAGAAATAAAACTTTCCAGTTCAAATGCAGAAACCATGACCTATGTCCTTCATCCCGAAAAGCATGTGTTAAAGTGGAAACCATGTGGAAAGGATCTTCTAAGACTGGTTAAACAGGAGAAGCCGTTGGCAAGAAGCCACTTGAATTTATTTGAGAGAGTTGGCAATCAACAATCAACTCCCAGGGCTCACCTTTATTCTGGAGACCTCACATTCCCCCCTCATCAGTCCCCACCTTATCTAATGAAAACCAGATTGAGAGGCAGCCGTGTCAGCTCCCCGTGGCTCTCACCTTTTCTCTCTGGAGAGCCGGCACAAACTGTCCCTTCTGGATGGAGACACCAGATCCTTAGGAGGAATGACTTGTTTGAGTTCCCATCTTGATATAAAATGCAAACAACAAAAACTGGGCAAATCTGAAAGTCTTGCTGACTCAGCAACACAAATTCCAAGGCACCTTTGCCAACAAGGAAGAAGATGGTCAGGTTTTAAATTGAGAAACAGCAGTTGGTGAAAACGAATGCACAGATGTTGGGTCCGTGTGCTACGGCTGGGGACTGGAAACCACCAGATTTATTGTTCAACAGCCTGGGCAGAGCAGAAGTACAATAGCCTCCCTCTGCCCACTACAATAATCAAGGGGATAGTTAAAAAAAACCTCAGCCCTTTCACAGAAAGGCCTAAAAGGACTTCATAAGCCAGTCTGCAGTGTAGGTCCCCAGGAAATTAGCAGAGAGGGTAAAAGTCTGACGAAGGTCACACAGCAAATAAAGAAGAGGCCTAGTTACAGTTACCCTGACGGTTTAAGTAAAGCCTGGTTTTGGCTATCAGAAAGTCCACCTCACAGAACTCTAGAGGAGCTAGGATGGCACGCAGAAATACCGAGTTTCTCAAGGGTCTAAGTGTCCGTGCACACACACTTTCCACTGGCACCGGCACTTGGGGAAGTGGAATCAGTGTGGAGGACAGTAGGTGGCTGAGAAAGGCGGGATGAAACGGGAGCTCCAGAAAAAGTCTCCTAGGTTCTCTTCAGCATCCACGACCCCCCAAAAGTGACCCCGGGCCTCAGGAACAGCAGCTTCCTGGAAAGCGGACCCTACTGGAGACGAGGGAAGCAGAGTTCAGAGGCAAACTCCTCTGAAGTACAGCCCCCGGCTCCAGCGAGTCGTCCACCAGGAGGCAGACCCCAGCAGAACCCGCACCCTAACCAGGCAGCCCGGTGGCAAACCTCTCCACCGCCTCCTCCGGGGCCTGTGGGAAGGGTGCACGCCTCCCGACAGACCCAAACTCGGGGTCTGCGCCCCTCCCCTGAGAGCTCTTCGGCTTCCACCCCGGCGCTCACCCTCGCACCCAGCACCCAGTCCTGCCCCGAGCTCCCAGCGCCTCCCAGTTCCCCCAACTCCCGCCTCCGGGACCTCCAGCCTGGAGGCCAGTCCTCACAATCCCCCCCGGACCTCACCCCGGGGCTCCCCTCGGCCCGGCCCAGCCCTCCCTCACTCCCACACCCGCCCCCTTCCGGCCCCAGCTCGGCTCGGTCTCCCCCGAGCCCTCGGGACCCCAGCTCTGGCGACGAGCCCGTGGCCTGCCTGCCCCTCTCACCGAGGCTGAGGACGGCGAGGGGGCAGGCTGAGGAGACCGCCGCGCTCGGGCAGCAGCTCGAGCTTGGCCTGGGCTCCGCTCCGGCTGCCGCTCTGACTCTAAGGAGGAGGCAGCCCGAGTGAAACTCGGCGTCGCAGCTTCCTTGTGCCCCGGTGCGCATGCTCAGGACGCGGGGCCTTCTGGGAAATGTAGTTCCGGTGGCGCGGCGGGGGGCGGGGCTGAACTCGACACATACCTAGTCAGGTGTATCTATTTTTCTTAGCCTGTTCACTCGTTACTTACTCTTTCGTTAATTTGCCGACTCATTTTAAATAGTTTTTACCGTCACAGACATGGTGCCAGGCCGCGTGCTAGGTACTGGGGATTAAAAGGTGAATCAGAAACTTGTTTTCTCTTCTGGGAGAGCTTCGTATCTACTTGACAGACATTTAAACACACAATTACAATATAGTGGGATAAATGTGATCAAGAAGTGGGAGCACGGGGGCCAGCCCTGTGGCCGAGTGGTTAAGTTCCTGTGCTCTGCTTTGGCGGCCCAGGGTTTCGCCCGTTCTGATCTTGGGCGCGGACATGGCACCGCTGGTCAGGCCATGCTGAGGCGGCAACCCACATCCCACAACTAGAAGGACCCACAACTAAAAAAAAAATACACAACTATGTATAGGGCGGGGGCGGGGGGGCCTTTGGGGAGAAAGAGGAAAAATAAAAAAATGAAAAAATTTTTAAAAAGTGGGAGCGCAGAAGGGTGTGCCTAATGGGGGGGCAGGGGTAGTGTCAGAAAGACGTCACAAAGGAGGTGACCCCCGAGTTGGATTTTGAAGCCCATGTAGAGGTTTGACAGATGGAGTACAGGGAAGCCCTTGCAGAGGAAGAGAGCTAGGAAAGTGCCCGAAACATTCAGGAAGCAGTGAAATTGCTGTCCTTGTGGCCAGGACAGAGGGTACATGGAGGGGATGAGGACAGAGAAAATGGATTAGGGTGTGGCAGGATATGAGTATGAGGAGAAGGCTGAGTAAGATTATGATGAACTTTAAATGCCATGCAAGGAATTTAGGCAACTGGAGCCAGTGGAAGGAGTTTAGCAGGGGAATGACAGGGTCAGCATAGCACTCTAGAAGGGTACCCTGTGTGGTGGGGTAGGATAAATTAAAGAGAGAGAAAAGAGCCAGGAAACCAGTTTGGAGGCTATTGCTGTAATCCAGGTCAAAGGTGATAAGACTTGAACGAGGCTGGTGACTAATCTTTTGGGATCACAGACCTCCTTTACAAAGCTCAAGATAGCTACTCCCAGAAAAACGTTTGCTGTAACTATTCACACGTGTACCCACACATTACACACACACACAATCTTTTTTAAAATTAATTAATTAGTTTATTTTTTTGAGGAAGATTAGCTCTGAGCTAACATCTGCTGCCAATCCTCCTCTTTTTGCTGAGAAAGACTGGCCCTGAGTTACCATCCGTGCCCATCTTCCTCTACTTTATATGTGGGACACCTGCCACAACATGGTTTGCCAAGCAGTGCCATGTCCGCACCCGGGATCTGAACTGGTGAACCCCTGGCCACCGAATCGGAATGTGTGAACTTAACTGCTGCGCCACCGGGCCAGCCCCTAACATGCACACAATATTGCATACAGTTTCAGGGGGTTCAGAGTCCTCTGAATCTTGGAGTCTAGGTAAGTATCCTTACGTAATCTAAAGTCACTCATACTTTATCAGGGATTTGAGGAAGATTTAGACTGCTGGAGCTGGAAGAAGAGATCTCCCCCATCATCCAGTTCTAACACTTTGTTTTATAGAAGAGGAAGCTGAGGCCCGAGAGGGGGAGTAACCCGCCCAAAGTTCGTGAAAGGACGAGGGCCTGCATCAGGCCATCTTTAGTGCCCTAGGCCAGGCGTCTGCCGCCCAGGAGCTGACTTAGAGGGCCCAGGCCTGAGTCTAGGACTGCACCAGAGTCACGTTCTCCCACTTACGCCCAGAGCCAGCCCTCCCTCGAGAAATGAAGGGTAGCATTTTACCTGTGATTTATATTAGATGGCTGCAATGCTACAGATTAGGATGGGAACGTTTCCCCTCCCCTCTGAAAGTGGCAGTTTTCTCAGCCATAACCATTGACAAATAGAAATGGCAAGCAATAGGATATATTGGAGTGTATGAAGAAGCCATTCGGTGTAAACCTAATTCGGCCTGACTTTGTTTTTCTAAAAGAACCTGACATGGCCATTGAGCAGGCATTGTATATCTGCTTTAAACATTTCCTATGGCAAGATCAGTGCCCTTAAAATAAAGGTGCACCTTCCCCCCAAATTGGCATTTCCTTAAGGATAAGCATCTTTCCTTAGGCTAGGAACTGATTGCTCTGCCAACCTGTGACCACCCACCTTAATACAACAGAACTGCCACCCTGCTGTGCAGACAGAGCAGTCACGTGACTATTGTAAAAGGGACATTTCAATCATATGTGAAACATCCTCTTTGAGGGTATATAACCTCTCTGTCCACCCCACTTCTTTGGTGCCCTTCCTTCCTCAGGGAAGAAAGGCCCCAGGCCATGGTCCTCACATTTTGGCTCAGAATAAACTCACCCAAATTTTCATTTATAGATTGGTTATGGATTATTTGCACTGACACCATCTGAAACATTCCTCGAGCACCTAATATATGCCATGCACTTGCCATGCATCACCTCATTGAATCCCCTCAAGGAGGTCAGTGCTATCATTATTCCCATTTTATTTTATTTTTCTTTTTTCAATCTTTTTTTTTTTTGAGGAAGATTAGTCCTGAGCTAACTGCTGCCAATCCTCTTTTTGCTGAGGAAGACTGGCCCTGAGCTAACATCTGTGCCCATCTTCCTCTACATTATATGTGAGATGCCTGACACAGCATGGCATGTCAAGCGGTGCCATGTCCACACCCGGGATCCGAACCGGTGAACCCCAGGCCTCCAAAGTGGAATGTGCGAACTTAACTGCTGCACCTCCGGGCTGGCCCAAATTATCCCCATTTTAAAGATGAGGATACTGAGGCCCAGAGCTTAAGCAATGTGTCTAAAGTCACACAGTTGACAACTGGCAGAGTTGGTCTTTAAATCGAGGTGGTGTCTAACTCCAGATTTGAGCACCCTCATGTGACTGGCCTCATTGCTAGGGGGTTGCAGAGGAAATGGTCTGATGCATTAGAGAAACCTCTCAACATCCAAAACATATTTTCTTAAGTGCTTCCTTTTCCCTCAGCCAAACACTGGAGTAATAGTTATTGTCCAAAAACCCCACTGCACACACACCTAGAGCCTCGGAGAGAACAATGGAGGAGGCTGGGCTGGAAAGGCTCTGGAGCCCAGGCTCTTCCGAGGGGAGGACTCTAAGCACAGCGAGCTGGAGGAGCTCCGGGGAAGGCTTCCTGGGGCTGCCAAGGTTGGGGACCAGTGTGGGAGCCAGGGTAAAGGCTGGAGTAGAGAAGTTTCACAGAGGCAGGAAGCAGGACACAACCTGGGTGCATGGGAGTGCCCTTCCACAAGATGGAGAACATTAGAAAAGGGGTGGGTTCATCAACAAGTTGAGCGTGAGGTAGGAGAGCGGGAAGAACATCCAGATGTGAGATTCTCGAGAGATCTGGGCCAGAAACAGGGATTCAGGAGTCACAGGCAATGAATTCATCTGAGAGGACCACAGAGGATGAGAAAGAGAAATCCAGGACTGAGGAACTCTGACTCTCGAAGAACAGGTGAGAGATAGAAGTGTCTGGAGAGAGGCGGGACTGGGGAACATCGGGTGAGCATGATGGCAGAGAACCAAGGAGAATGTCCCAGAAGGCAGTGCTCAGTGCTGACAGACACTTCTGAGAGGCCCAACCAGCTGGTCCCCTGGGAGGGCCTCCCAGTTCTGGGCTCATTTTTTCAGTTAAACAGCTGACTTCAAGAAAGGTCCCAAGGGGCTGGCCCCGTGGTGCAGCAGTTAAGTTTGCACGTTCTGCTTCAGAGGTCCGGGGTTCACCAGTTCAGATCCCAGGTGCGGACATGGCACCGCTCAGCAAGCCATGCTGTGGTAGGTGTCCCACATATAAAGTAGAGGAAGATGGGCACGGATGGTAACTCAGGGCCAGTCTTCCTCAGCAAAAAGAGGATTGGCAGCAGATGTTAGCTCAGGGCTAATCTTCCTCAAAAAAAGAGAAAAAAAAGAAAGGCCTCCAACTTCTGACTTAGGTACAGGGAGGCGATTAGTGACCACAGAGTGGTTTCCATTGAGAGGTAGGGGCTGGAGCAGATGTCTGTGGTTGTGAAGGCTAGGAATGCAGTCTGGGAGTGTAGACAACTTTTTCAAGAACAACTTTTGTGTTCCATACACTGGGGGCCGGGGGGCAGGGGCCAGCAGAGGATACACCCACTCCTGTGGGATGACGCCACTTACATAAGGTTGCCCACAGCTGTGTGTGTCTGAAGCATGCTAGCCCACACGGTAGGTAACAGCTCGGGGTAGGGGGACAGCAGGTGATTTTTCACTTTCTTTATCCTTTTCCTGTATCATTTGAGTGTCCCAATGAATAGTTCCATTTTTATAACCTGAAAAGAAAGACTATTTTTATTTGGGAAAAATAAAGAGTTCTGATCGTGAAAGGGAGCAAAATAGGGCAGCAGCAAGTGGCGGGGGGCGGGGCACGGCCTCTTCGGTTTTAGCCAGGAAAGAGTGAGTGCGCTGTGTTCTGAGGCTGCAGCAGGATGTCCCTCAGGAAGCTGGAAAGGAGGAAAACAGGACTGGCCACTTGCAAACAGAACTTTAAGCCAATATACATAGGAAAAGACCCAAAACCGCTGACCTGCCCTGCAGAGGCGGGCTGGGCAAGTAACCAGGGAACACTGGGTAGAAAGAATGAGGAAGACACAGGTGCTGATGGAACAGGTGGCCAAGATCTATTGTCAAGTAAAAAAGGAACTTTCAGAGCAGAGGGGCACCTATTTGTGTTTTTGGGGTTTGTTTTTAATGCACAGCCAGGCTTGCAGGCATAGAAAGTTTCTGGGAGGAAACCTAAGAAGCTCCGAGAAGGACGGGGATGAGCTGAGAATTTTTTAAAATTTCTTATGTACTCATGCCGTTTTTTTCTACTAGAAAAATGTGAGGTTGCCCCCCACACACACACACACACACAGTAGGGCAGCTTAGGTGTACCTTGTGCAAAGGCACGAAGCCTCGGGGTGCGCAGGGGCTGTGTCCTAAATGGTCTCCCCAGAAGGGGAGCCTTTTTTTTTAATGTCTCAAAGGCTGGAGTCTGTGCCGCCCACAGGCCTTCGAGGCCAAGCGACTGAGAATGAATGACGTGGTCCAAGAAAGAATGTGGCTGTTGGCCGTGGGGAGTGGTGGTGGCCAAAGAAACTTAGATTGAAAAAAAAGTCCTTGAACTCCACTCCAGGTGTCAGGGCTTGCTGCTTCGGGAGGTTCCAATCCTGGAACCAGCCCCGGCTCACCCAGGAGCAAGAAAAGACCAATGTAAAGCTGGGGAAAGGTAAGACGCTGGGGTCCAGTGTCGCTGCGAAGGGGCTCAGCACTTTTGGATGTTTTGCTTGCGAAGGCAGAATTCTGTTGCTTGGTGCCTCTGCTAATTGGCCCCCATCTGACACGCTGGAGGGATTGGCTGATTAGAAGCCACAGCTGCCTTGCTCATTATTTCTGATTAAGAGACAGCACCTGGCATCTCTGGGCAAGGTGCCGGCTCCGGACCCAGGTGTGAGCCACACAGTCAACAAAAGCGTGATGGCTTTGCAGCCCTGAGGAGTGAAGCAGCCTCCTGAAACAGCACTGCCTTGTGTAAGTTCCGGCCCCTTGGAACACATTTGGAACTGGCTCGTCCTTCTTTCGAGTTCCCTTGCTGCAGGTCTGAAATTAACTGACGTGCGCTCAGTTCACTCATCAGAGAAGTTTAACACTCAGCAATCGCACTGGGCCTGTTCCCCTCATCCATAGTTATTGTTCTGGTTGTGAATTAATGCTCTGGCACCCTGGTTGGGATCTAGAATTGCTCAAGGGGTCAGCTGTGGTGTGTGGACAAGCCAGGCCTCCTAGCCTAGGGCTGAGGGCACAATGTTATCTTGGGAGACGCAGTGCTATCTTTCTGCTGGTATTACCTCCCTCTGAAAACTTCCACTAGCCTAGGAGTTGCTTAGAATCTATTACTAAAAATACGTGACAAATCTAACAACTATCAGGAAAAAGTCTGAAATGGGCAAAAAGATTCCTGGCTGTCACCTTCCCAGATTATCTGAGTCCATAAATTGGTGCCTTTCCTAGTATTTGACTAAGGTATTTTGCAATTCTGTGAATTGCAGAAAACTGATAGTCATGCAAATGACTGCAAATGATTCTTTTCTGTATAGAGATGCAATTGACTTCTGCCCTATGGAAGAAGCCATTTTTGCATCTATCGGCAAATTCACTTCTGCCTTTCCTGATTAGCTTTGTAGAAGTCTGGTCTTTGAATTCTCCCTTGAACCAGTTTTTTTCCATCTTACAGTTTCCCTCAGTGAATGAGTTAAAACAAGATGTTTGACACATTTTCATTTTGTATTTATATGATCATGATTTTCCCCCATTGTCCATTAACATACCTCATTTCCCTTTTTTCCCTGGCTACCAGGAAGCACAAAAGCAAAATTTTAAACCCACAAAGTGTTGATTCACCGAGAGTTGCACAGGATATAATGGGAAGCTCCCCCAAACAACAGGGAGAGGTGATAGAAAGTGGGACAACCCTCGGCTGCCTGCCATCTCCCTCCCTTTCCTGCTCAAGTTCCACCTTGAGGTCGGAAAGCAGGGCCCTGTGACGTTACTGCCGGCGGCTGTCTCTCCTGCCCTGACCGGGGCCAGGTTCAGCCTGAGCTGAGGCCCATCTGGAACTGCCTGGGGCTGACACTCAGGGTCATGTCCTAGTCACACTTCCTCCCCACACCATACACAGCCACTTCCTCTTTCTGCTGAGGACAGCAGAAGCTGAACGAGAGATGAGTTTCCAGAATGTTGCAACACCCGGGAACAGGAGGGCAAATAATGGAGGCGTGTTTGTGGCAGGGACAGTCCCCCAGGATGTCTTGGGAGTAGCCCTAGCTTAGAGAGCAGCTCCAACTGAACACATGTTGGGTACCAAGTATCACATTAGTCCTCACAATAACCCTGAAGTCAAGAACTCCCCCATCTGAAGCAGGACGATGCTAAGAGAGGAAACAGAGTCGGGGTAGAGCTGGTGGGGGGAGGTGAGACAGGCCATCTGGCCCCAAGAGTCCTGTGCATGGACCAGGAGCCCACCAAGTGCCCTGCTCACAACCTCCAGACAGTCCTGTGTCAACAAAAATAATCCATAACCAACCTATAAACGGAAATTTGGGTGACTTTATTCTGAGCCTAAATGTGAGGACCGTGGCCCAGGGCCTTCCTTCCCCAAGGAAGGAAGGGCACCAAAGAAGTGGGGCGACAGAGTGGTTATATACCCCCAAAGAGGATGTTTCACATGATTGAAATGTCCCTTTTACAATAGTCACAAGACTGCTCTGTCTGCACAGCAATTGATGGACGCAGCAGGTAGTGGGTCTGCTGTCTCAGTGGATACAACAGGGTGGCAGGTCTGTCGTCTTGAGCTGGGTGGTCACAGGTGAGCACAGCAATCAGTTCCTAACCTGGGAGAGATGCTTATCCTTAAGGAAACGCCAATGTGTATGTGGGGAGTTGCACTTTTATCTTAAGGGCATTCATTCTTGCCATAGGAAATGCTTAAAGCAGATATACAATGCATGCTCAATGGCCATACCAGGCCCCTTTGGAAAAAGTCAGGCCGAATTAGGTTTACACCAAATGGCTTCCTCATATACTCCAATATATTTGATTGATTTCTATTTGTCACCTGTTACCCCCATCTTACAGATGAGGTGACCTGCAAGCCAGACAAGGGCAGGGAGCCCGGCTGGCTTTCTCTCAGCCTCCAGGCTACCTTCTCTGCTCCTCCAATTCATTTCCCTGACGGGGACGGTCCATCCATGGCAATGAGAGCACTTCAGTGTCCTTTCCACGTTGCCATCGTCAGCCCTGAGGCTTCCCTCTCCCCTCTTTGGACATCGAGGCCCTCCACTGCCCCAGGGCACAGGTTCTCCCCATTCTCACCTCCCTCCATACTCATCTCCCCCATTTTGTCCAGCTAGGACCTGCTAGGTCTTTGAAGATTTGCTCTAAGATCGCCACCTCCAGGAAGCCCACCCTTCCTACCCCTAGTCTTTTACTGCCTCATGCAGCACACCATAACCTGCTTTGGGGGCATGATTCCTTCTTGATGCAAATCCCCTGGCCCAGTACACTTCAACACACGTGTGAGTCACCTGGGGATCTTGTCAAGACATAGAGGCTTAGGTCTGGGGTGGGACCCTCAACTCTGCCCTTCCCACAAATCCCCAGGTCATGCCAATGGTGCTCACAGGCCACACTTGGAGGGGCAAGGACCTAGGTCAAGGGCCTTCCTGCACCTCCCAGACCCAGAATCACACAAAACCTTGCTCTGCGTGTATTTGAGAGCCGTTTGGCTCTGATCAGTTTATGCCTAACCACTGTGCCCAGAAGGTTCCAGCCCTGTTTTGCCTCTGAGGACCCTTGGGCTCACAGCAGGTAACTAGCAAAGCTGGGATTCCACAGCGAAGACGACCTTCACTCAGTAAGAAGTGGGGTCTGGGTGAGGTTGGAGCCAGCTAAGGGCCAGGCCACAGTGAGGGCCTTCACAGCGCTAGCAGAGGGAGCTTGACCACCTGCCCTGCAGTGGGCGCCACAAGCTCCGTGGGCTTCACTCCCTTGCTGAGCACTCCCAGGGGCTGTGGCCAGGACCTGGGGGAGGACAGCAGCCTCTGTGGGGAGACCGATGTGAAGGTGGCAAAGGCCAAGAGGCAGCTCCCCTCGGTGACAGGTAGCCCGAAGCAGGTCCCAGCCCTGCCGAGGCACCCACCTCAGAGTGACTTGGCCACAGCACGCTCACCACCCTCAGAAGTGCTCCTCTGCAAGGTGAGCCCTGCTCAGACCACTACCCTAGACCCGGTCCCCTCTGGCCCTTGGACCTCTGGCATGTGGACATGTGGCTTTCTGCCCGCTGCCCCTAGAGAAGGGGACTAGAAGTTCTTTCCTTCCTTCCACCACCCCCAGAGCCAGATCCACTGGGCCCGGAGATACGCAAGACGCTTGGCCAGCCTAGAAGCTAGGGCAAAAGTTGGGTGGACCCCACCAGCCCCAACAGCTTTCATCTCAGCCCCTTAGAGACACAGGACTATTGTTGCCCCTGGGAAGATGAGCCTTGCCCCCGGGAAGGACGTGTTACCCAAAGCCAGGAAAGTGCTGGCTTGCCTTCACAAGCCAGTCTGGCCTCTCCACTGTGTAGACACTAGAGGCACAGCTGCACTTAGACTGGGTTTCTGAACCCATGGCGCTGTTTTACGGTCTGCCCCCCTCCCAGTAGCCACTACGCTCCACCCCAGAGGTCACTTTCTTCTTTTATTGGGGAGCAGACACAGGGCACAGCACAGGGTGGGAAGCGGCCCGGCGCCTCCTGGCGAGACCCAGGCCAACCGTAGCCAGGGTGAGGGATCCCACTGCCGCCAGGCCTAGGCCCAGCATCACAGAGGCGGGAGAAGAGGTCGACCCCTCCTCAGCACGGTCACTGGCCTTTCCCAGGAAGATCAGCGGCCCCACCGTGACGTCTGCTTCTTCTGTCACTGGAAGACAAGACATCCAGGGCTCACCTTAGTCGCTTAACCAGGAATCGGCTTAGGGGTTTTGCTGGGCCTCTGTGGGCTGGACTGGTAAGGTTTTGTTCTAAGAGCGGCATTCTCCCCTACCCGCAATTGTGGGTCAGAACCCCAGGATGACAGCAGAGCTGCCCTGGCTGACACTTGGGTGGAGGCTTAGGGCCCCCCCACTTAGCCCCAAGACTTTTATGTAGGAAAGCCCCAGCCTGCATCCCCTTAGGGGTGAGCAGCATTAAATAGGCGACAAGGGAGAAGAATGTCCCCCTACCCAAGACTGAGGTGAGAGCAACAGCCCTGCGGCCGTCCTAAGACCTACCGTGCCTGCGATTGCGGGAAGCAGACTTGTGCCACTGTCTCACTGTGCGGGACTGCGTGCCGGAATGGCCCGGAGTGCCACAGCTACCGTTGCCACAGCATTGACAGATGTCAGCAGGGCCTTCTACTGGGGACCAGCTGAGAGGGAAAGACGAGGGTTAGACATCTATGTTGCGTGCAAGAAGCAGTTGCTGATAATGTGCACTTTGAGGGGATAGACACGAGGGTGGCAGATTTGGTTTTCTGCCCCAGCCCTGTCCCATCTGGTCTCACCTATTCGAGGACTTGCTGAAGGAACAGGCTTTGTTTAGTTGGTCTGGGACATGGTCAGCCAGAGTGACCTTCAGATGGCAGGTGATATATACCTGGAAGTAAGAGCAGCTATGACCAGGCAGAGTTCTAGGCTGTGCCACTGACTATAATAAGCCACTTCTTACATAAACCTTAACCTTTGGGGTGGGAAGAGCCATTTTAGAGATTAGACAAGAGAGGTTCAGAGTTTAACCTGCCCCAAACTTCAGAGCAAGTAGCCAGTTGGATTCTAAGTTGGAACCCATCACCTCTATCCCCCCCAGTCTTTTCCAGACTTGTCACTTCACATGCCCAGCCCTGGTCCCACTAAGTCAGAACCTCAGGACAGAGCCAGGGATCAAGCCCATAGGGGCCAATTCCCATCCAGCCCCCTGGGATAGGGGGAACTTTGACAGAGCCAGGGCCTAGGTGGGCCCGGGTCCTCTTAGCAGAGGCATCCCCAGCCAGGGGTTCCCCTTCAAACCCTGGGTAGGGCTTCCACAGGCCCCTACCGACCCTGCCAGGGCATGAAGTTCCACCCCCTTCTCTCTCAAGCCTTCTGCAGAGCCACAAATCTTGGCCACCACCTAGTGGCCAAGTGCACCGGCAGACAGGGAAACCATTTCAGGAACTTGAACAGGCCAGGATACGCTTCTGGCCACCTGCCGTCCATCTGCCCCACCAGAGAAGGGCTTCAGGGTCCTTTAGATTCCCTATTCCAGGAAGGCAACTGCTTTTATCCTCAGCTTCTTCCCATTTTTCTGATGCTAACTGGGGCCTAAGACCCTAGGGTGGTTCCCTGTTAGTTTTTTTTTTTTTGAGGAAGATCAGCCCTGAGCTAACTGCTGCCGATCCTCTTTTTGCTGAGGAAGACTGGCCCTGAGCCAACATCTGTGCTCATCTTCCTCTACTTTATATGTGGGATGCCTACCACAGCATGGCATGCCAAGCTGTGCCACGTCCGCACCCAGGATCAGAATCGGCAAACCCCGGGCCGCTAAAGCAGAACATGCACACTTAACCGCTGCGCCACTGGGTCGGCCCACCCTGTTAGCTTTTGAATAAGGGCCTTCCTTCTCCCTTGTGCCATGGCAAGAGTCAGCCAGGCCATCCCACCCACCTTTGAAGGAGAACCCTCCCTGAGCTCAGGCTACCTTCCATTGATCAGCAGTGTCCTCTGGTCTCTTGGTTACTCCCCCTACAATCCCTGGACATGCAGATACCAGCTCCAGTTTCACCCATGGTGATGGCCACCACCTGTATGAAACCTCATCCATTCCTCCTCCTCCCCACAGGATTACCCTCTGAAGGCAACGTCAACTCTCTACCCCAACCAGGATCCTCTACCCTAGGACCCAAGGTCATTGATGTGGGGACCAGGGCCCTTTCTTCGAGTCTGTTCTTTTATCCCCAGCCCCATTCAACCCAGGACCTGCCATCTGAAGCTTCAGGACACGTCACCAATAGCTTCAATTCATGCTCCTCCTGCTGTTGACTACCAGTCTATATCAAGCAACTTGTTCTCAGGACAGAACTGCTGGGCGAGGCGAGGCAGCAACGATGTTCTCTTCTACAAATCCAGTTTGTCTCTTAATGCCACCCAGCCGTAGGAGCCTCTGGTTCGGTGGTTTGCAAATCTGGCTGCTTACTAGAGCCACCTGGGAGCTTAAGTGATTTTTGATGCATTTCCAAGTAAAACAAGATAGACTAGCAGATGGATGATAGTAAACAATTAATGGTAGAACCTAGACAGTAGGTGCATAGGTGTTTGCTGTCAAGTTCTTTCAACTTAATGTTTGAAGACTTTCATAAGATGTTGGGAAAAGGTGATGCTAGGCCCTACCCCAACTGAGTGAAAACGTATGGTATTATTATATGCAAGCATCAGTTTTGACCTTTCCAGGTGACTAGTATAGAGCCAGACCTGAAAACGCCTGCTTTAATCATTTTTTCCTGACCAGCGATTCCAGCCTTCAACATCCCCCACTCCTATCTTGGGGAACTTGTTTAAAAGCTACGTTTTATTTGTAAGATTCTACTGGCACTTTCTGGCTAGAGGCCAGTCCTTCGACCTGCCTGTCTGTCCCCGTCTCAGCCATCAGGAACAGGCCACATGGTGGCTCCCTCCTCCTCCACCCCCCTTAGTTTCAACCTGGGCTTTCTAGCTGAGTGGTTCTCAAAGGGTGGCCCCAAACAACATGCACCTGCAGACTTAGGAATGCAGATTCTAGGCTCCACTCCAGACCTACTCAACCAAACCCAGGGGGTGGGGCCCAGCGAGCTCCTTCAACAAGCCCTCCAGGTGGCTGATGCACTCAAGTTTAAAAAAAAAAAAAAAAAAAAAGTCACTGGTCTAGCCTATGGTGAAGTTAGAGAGGCTAGCCTGTGTAAGAGTTCATACCCACTTTCTTGACTTCCAGAAAGCTCCAGGAAGGTGGACACTTGCTTTTGTCAATTCCTTTACTAAACCCATCATCTGGGTTCTGGCCCTACTGACCCTGACAAGGACAGGATGAGTGACCTGGTCCCCAGATGCCATGGTTGTTGGCTCAGATGGGGACCGTCAGCTGAATCTCCTGGGTTCCTCTTCTCCTAGTTTGTTCTATTTCCGGGACTCCTGACACTCCATCCACATGGATTTCCTACTTTCCTAGGGCTCTGAGTCACCTGTGCCTTCTCCTTAAGGATCTCACTAGAGCCCATGGCTTTATCTACTTGGTAGGTTTGTGGAGTTGCTAGGACGGGGCAGAGCTGTCCAGTTGTTAAGGAGACGGCTAGCGAAAGACCGCAGCAGAGAGCAAGCCTGGTGAGCCCTCCCTATGGTTCAGTCTTATTCCCAGCTATCAAAAAGAGCCATTACCATGTTTCTGGAGTCATTAGCAAAGTGGAACACAGCCACCATGAACTGGAGAGTCTCTGGCCCGGGTCTGGGGGCTTTGAAAGCAGAAGAGGCGTCGGAGAGACCATCCACGAGACAACTGTGAAGAGAACAGGTGAAGAATAGGGTTAAAGGCTGAGGAAGGTGGCACGGTCGTGTTGTTACAAAGGTTCTCTAGAAAGGGAGCCGAGCCCTCACCCGTGGAAGTCCACGATGGTGTGATAAGGGGACGCGTTCCGGTCTGGTGTCAGCGTGGCCACACAGTGGTCCACGAACAGTCGCAGTGGCACGTGGCTGCCCGTGTGGACTTCGGCCTGCAGGTGGGCTATTTCTCCCAGCTGGAAGGTGGGGGACCTCTTCTCAGCGCCCCAGTCCTCTGAAAGGCACAGCCAGGGATGCAAGATTGCCAGAACTCTCCCTGCCAGCTCCCCTTGCCAGCCCTCCTTGCTTACCTTCCATCAGGAGCAGAGAGAAAACCAACTTCTCCTCCGAGAACATCGTGGTCTGGAAGGGCACCCACGTGGGCAGGATGGCCTGGCTGCTCACGTTGCCCTGCCTGGGAAGAGAACAGCGGCTGCCCACACTGGCCCGGCTCACCCCATATGACCCCACCTTGGAGGGGGTCTAATTTCTACTTCATTGCAGAGCCTCAGGTGTGGCTTGTCCAGGCAGCTGGTCCAAGCCTGTTGAACACATACCTGAAGCCAGAGCCTGTCCCTTGATCTCCTGAACTCGACATCTATGAGTGGGCCCAACCAACCCAGCCATGACGACACGTGGGTCCAACAAACCCAGCCATGACGACACCTAGGCCCAACCAACCCAGCCATGACGACACCTGGGTCCAACCAACCCAGCCATGACGACACCTGGGCTGCAGTGTGAAGACCGATACATCGAGTTAGTTTCTAGACCCAGATCTGCTCCTCATTAAGGTTAACCTGGAGGCTCAGGTGTGGGGCCTGAGGCAGCAGGCCGTCTCTGCACCACTCAGGATCCTTGAGGCGAGTCCTAGACAAGGTCCTTCAGACATAAATGCAGACAGGCCTCTGGTTCTTGAGAAGCCACTGAGACAGCCTGAGCCGGGGCAGGAAGGTCCTTGGGAGCAGGTGGATGTCTCCAGATGTCTGCCCCGCTGAACCCACCGGGTCCCATGGAAGAGGCTACATCCAAGTGATGCATCTGCTCAGATCCAGACCTTGGGTAGCTGGAGCTTGGTTAAGCCTCCCAGCCCGTGGCAGGCCACCCTGCCCTGTCTGCAGCCATCGGGTGAGCCAGCGTCCTCAGCTCAGTCCCAGGCAGAGCTAGTTTGATGTGAGCGACAGCCGTGGTCCTAGAAGAGCTTCGGCCTCCCCGGCCAGTAAGAGGGCGAGCTGGGCATCTTGCCCTGGGCTCCTCCGTCTCCTCCACCCAACACGGTCAGACACTGAGCTCTTCCAGTTCCCCCTAACTCCCTCAAGTCGGCCCCCTCCAGCCCTGCTGCTGCAGGTCAGAACTCATCTCATCCCAGTCTCCCAGCTGGACCAGCTCTCATCCATCTTCTGCACCAGCTACCAGCTCACCTTCTCAGTTGAGAAACAGTCCTCACCCACTCTGCTTGGTCCTCGGAAGGGGCACTCACTGAAGAGTGAGCCTGAACACCTTCACTGCATCTGATGGGCCTTTAGAACCCACCTGTCCCCCTCCTTGTTGATGAGGCCCTGAGCTCCAGGCCCCCAGGCTGCAGCCCCGATCAGTGACATGCTGTCCTCCTCAGGTGTGAGTGGCTCTGCCCAGACCACCTGTCCCCGAGTCCCCTCCCAGGATCTGTTTGGGAAGCCCTCCCCAGGCATGAGGCTACCCCTTGTGCCCTCATGGTATCAACACCATCTCCCCTACCTCCTCCCGGAGGAGCAGGCAGGGATGGAGGCTTGTGCACTGCCCTCAGCCCAGCACCGGGCCGGGCATTGGGCATAGTCACCCTCCTCCCATCTCAGTGCTCAAGTTCACAGGCACGTGCTTAGTGCTCAGGGCTTGAGGCTCTTCCCCGCCTGCACCTGTGTCTTGGGAGAAGCCATAGGTAAGTTGCTGGTTGCCACAGCCAAGTTCAGAGCCCGGAACGTACCCCTGCACTAGTGAAAGACTCTGAACTCTGGGAGGCCCGGGTTGGACAGCCCTGCAGCCTCCACTCCCAGGCAGCTGAGGCCCTGGTGCATTTCAGAGGCTCCCAGCAGACTCAGCAGGCCCCCGACTCCCACCAGGGGCTGAGGGCAGTGACCACAGCCCTTCCACCTGCTCACAGCCGTTCTGCCAGGAGGCCAACGTGCTGCTGAGGGGCCTCTGCACCACGTGCGGGCAGCAACAGGCCTGGTCCCACACTGACCTGGGGTAGCGACACTCGATGGGAACCTCGGCGCGGTTAGTTCTCAGGATGGACAGGTTTCCCACGGGGCGGGGGTTGTGGAGCAGGAAGGTGCTGTACACAAGGGCGTCCTCAGTCACCTGAAGGGGAGGGGTGGGGTTAACCCTGCCAGCATCACCGGCAGCCCGCTGGGGTGGAGAGAACACAGGCCCTGGAGACAAAGCCTGCTCTGCCGGTGACCCATGGAGAGCCTGACCAGGTACCACCTTCCTCCTCAGTCTGTTCCACCCTGAGGTGTTGACATCGCGGCAGGGGTCTGGACCTGACGAGAGGCTCCTCTTCTCAGGCTGCCACCCCTACCCCAAGACAGTTTCTTTTTTCAGGAGAAGCCTGGGGCTAAGAAGTCCCCAGGAAGAAGCCAGAAAGTTCCAGGACCTTTACTTCATCACCACAGCAGTTAACACTTTAGTTGCCCTCCTTCGGTCTGACTTATCCTCAAGCCATTTCACCGAAGGAGCAGGAAGAGCCCAGGCTGGTGCTATTGGGGCAATTTGCACATTCCAGTCCAGCTTCCCAGGAGGGCACCTGGGCCCTACTAGCTGGGAGGCCTCAACCACTCAATCTTCAGAGGGGAGGTCCTAGCTTTCTATCAGTGAGTGCCCCAGTCGGACTAGCTGCATAATTTGTGGGGCCCAGTGCAAATGAAAATGTGGGGCCCCCTGTCCAAAAGTTAAGAATTTCAGGACAGTGGGCATCAGACAGAGCATGGGCCCCATGGGACTGCACAGGGAGCCAGCCTGGGCCATGCTTATCAGGCAAGACTGGGAAACGCTGCCACCAGAGACAGGAGTGGCCAGGCCGTGCTCCATGCTGGAGTCACCTGGGATCTTAAAGATACTGATGTCTGGGAGCCAGCTGTAGTGGTCAATTCCCACGCTCCACTTCAGTGGCCCGGGATTTGCCGGTTCCGATCCCGGGTGTGGACCTACATACCGCGCATCCTGCCTCATCAAGCCAGGCTGTGGTGGCATCCCACATACAAAACAGAGGAAGATTGGCACAGACTTTAGCTCAGGGCTGATCTTCCTCACACACACGAAAGATACTGATGTCTGGCTCCCACTTCTGTTGCGATTTAGTAGGGGCTATGGGAATCAGGATTTTTAAATGTTCCCCAGGTGACTTTAGTACTCAGCTAGAATAACTCCCTAAAAATAACTCCTGCTGCCCTCTGGCCTCCCTCTCCTCTCCCCAGGGATACAGGGGCCAGGAGGTCACAAGGCGCCCAAGACCAGAGCTCCTTGGAGGGCTCCTGGGCCGAGCTTGTCCCCGTCCCAGCCGAGCTACCGAGACTCCAAGAGTCCAGGGTCAGGGAGGCAGGAGCGGGGGCCTGATGACATGAGGGGAGGCCAGGCTTTCTGTGGGGTGACAGGAGATTGTTCCAGGGGATCATGGACCAGCTGGCAATCTGTGCCCAGCTCTGCCTTGCTGGAGGGCCCCTTCTTGTAGTCTGAATATCTGTGCCTCCCAACCCACTTGAGGAGTGGGGGTGAGCCTGGCCTGGACCCCAACCCACGTACCCAATTTTGGCAAATAGAGGCAAGAGCTCCCCCCCCATTCACCCCCATGAAACCCACAAATGCCCACCTTCAAGCCTCAGGTGCGCTTCCCGCCTCACTCCCGACAAAGTGAAAGGGACCCACCCCAGCCCCACCCTCACTAAGCATCCACACTCCCCATCACTGGCCACCTTCCATATCCTCCCACCAAAGCCAGGGCCACCGAGGGGGCCCAAGCCTCACCTGCACGCTGTTGCCACACTCATGCAGTGCGACCTCAAACCTGACCACATCTTCTGTGTCCATAGAGACCAGTGGCTCACAGTTCTTGGGGCCCAGGGTGAGGTCTGCAGACTGGATGAGCTTCCCGGTACCAAAAAGGTCTTTGCTGACAGTGACCACCAGCTGGGCCTCCAGACACTCCACCACCACCGGCAGCTTAGATGGCATGGGATGGGGATGGTGGGTCCCAGCCTGCTGGATGGGCTGGGGGTAGCACAGCTCTGTGCCTCCCCAGAGCAGAAGGCAGACGAAGAGCCCATAGCTCAGCCCCATGGCATCTACAAAGTTACCTCCACCGGTAACCACCAAGCAGCTGCCACTCAGCCGTCTTATACCCCAGATCATGGCAACTCACACGTGTGCCTCCACCTGCCTCCCTTCCACAGCCAATCCAGTTGGCTAGGCCCTTGCTGCTCCAAGTGGCCCCCCGGGGCCAGCAGCATCTGCAGCACCTGGGAGCTTGTTAGAAATGCAGACTTTCAGCCCCACCCCAGGCTGACTGGGTTAGAGTCTGGTGTTTCGCTTTCTCCCCAAGTGATTTGTATTTGTGTTAAAATTTGCGAGATGTGGGCTGGCAGCCTGCTCAGTCAATTTTTCATCCTTGTCCTACTCCCACCACACGTGTCCGCCCTTTGCTGGCCCTGCCCTCACAGCCCAGCGAGGGAGCCACAAGCTATCCCAGGTCAATGGGGGAGACCAGGAGAAAGGGCTTGACTGAAGAATGGAGAGAATTTGAACAGAGATGGCAGGGAGCTCATTCCATGTGAGAAAACAGGAGGAGGCATCATTAAGAAACCAGAGAATTTTATGGACTACTGCCCAATCTTATGGGAGGTAGGAGGAAAGGTCAGTTCGAGCAGAGGCAGGTGTGTGAACAGAGGTGTAGAAAGGGCACTGGGTGAGCTTAGGGGAAAACCCCAGAAGCTCAGAGGGGCTGGAGCCTCAGGTCCCCAGGTATGAGACTGGAAGTTTAGGAGGCTGGGGAGGTGGGTGGGACAGGATCATGAAGGTAGCCAGCTGAGATGCTGGACTTTGCTCTCTGGACGAGGAAGGCTGTGGAAGGGTGCTGAAGCAGATGAACGATCTGGCCAGCTCTGTCTGGGAAGAGCTAGGGCTGGAGACAAGAGTCAGGAGGCTACTGCACCAGTCCTGGCGGGAGACAGTGGGGAAAGCCTGACAGGGTCAGCATTTACGCATGGCCTACTCGGCACCAGGCCCGGATGAAACTCCTTCAGGAGGGAAGGAAGAATACCAAAAATTAATGGCACTTAATTCCTAGGGGCAGAAGTGTATCCTTGCTTGCAAATGCTGGCTTCTAAAGTGATTGAACCATAATTTAAGTTGCTTAAATACCCCCTCGGTATTCTTTTGTTTTTGCTTTTTGAAAATACTCTAGTTTGCTTGTGGGAAAATAAATAGAGGGAAGAGATTACCCCCACAACTTCCTTTGACCTGATCAACATGGGTGAGGTGGAGCACAGGCAGCCAGCGGAGAAGCAGGCCAGAGCTCAGAGCTCAGGCTCCCAGCTCCCCTGGGTGGCCTCCCCCTGTGGAAGCCTTCCCCTCTGGGTTTCTTGCCTGCCAGGTCCAGAGGGAGGGAGGCAGCTATGGCCTGAGGCCCCTGAGGGACAGCTAGCTGGAGAGGCTGTCTTAGAAGTGGGGGCCCACTGGGGAAGGGGCCCTCTGTACTTGGTACCCACAGCTGTGTTTGCTGATTGTGCTGGGAGAAGGGTGGGGTGGGCTGGGAAGGAGAGATCAGGGCCTCCCTGAAGCCTCATATCCATCCCCTCTCCCTCTCTGCCTTGGAGCTAAGCCCCCTTAGGAGGCTTCACACACAAAAAAGATATGAAGAAGTTGGTGAGGCGGGGGTGAGGCATATACTGGTGGGGAGAATCTGTATGCACATGGGGTGGTGGTGAGTATGTGGTGGGGGGCCTGTGTTCCCCTTTTCCAGAAAGAGGATTAGAGACATCCCCAGTAGAGAGCGAGGCCAGTGTAGCACCCACCCAAACCAGCTCACATTCTGGGTCTTTCGCATTTTTCTGAGAAGTGCTGCCACCTGGTGGCCAGAATGCACCAAAGGCTCAGCCGTGAGCCCAGAACATTTTCCTTAAAATTCCTTAGAGCCCTGATCCTGGTTTCTAAATACAATTCCTCTCTAAAAGCAGGACCCAGGGCTCCTTGGAGAAATGGCTGGTTCCAGGGCTAGAGTCAGGAAAGTACAAGGTGAATCTGGAACATCATGTTATACCAAAAAAATGCTCCCAAAATGATGAGGATGTGTCAAAAGAACAAAGGTGCCAAATTGAATAGGGGGGAGTCCCACTGACCAAACTGGGGACAATTGTGCATCAAAATGAAAGAGGACAAAGAGCTGGCCCTGAGGCCTAGTGGTTAAGTTCAGCGTGGTCTGCTTTGGTGGCCCAGGTTCTGTTCCTGGGTGCAGACCTACAGCAATCGTTGGCAGCCATGCTGCGGTGGTGACCCACATACAAAATGGAGGAAGACTGGCACGGATGTTAGCTCAGGGCAAATATTCCTCAGCAAAAAAAAAGGAAAAAGAAGAAAAAAGAATGAGGACAATAAGGACTACACATTGAATAAAATAAGAATCTATGAACATTCATGCTGATGAGAAATACTTACCAAAAAACACATAAATGGGAAATGTTTGCCCATAAAAGAGAAACTTCCTTATGGTAGGATGCCACCTAATAATTGTAGAGTGACAGATTTTGAACATATCCATTTGCAATCATCATAGTAGTAAAATAGATTCAGGCCAGAATTATCAGTGCATGTTGCAAATTAGTTGATGTCACGATAGTGACATCAGCTAAGTCTTTCGTGGGAACCATTTTGCAATGTATGAGTATCAAATCAACACGTCGCACACCATAAACTTATACAATGCTATACGTCAATCATTTCTTGATAAAGCCAGGGAAAAGTTCGCAGATGGATGGTGGCAATGTTGCACGACAGTGTGAATGTACTGAATGCCACTCAACCGTACCCTTAAAAGTGGTTAGAATGGTTAATCTTAGGTATATTCTACCACAATGAAAACAATAAAGAAAAACAAAACAAAACTAGCCGATGGAAGTTTGAATACATAGTCTCAAATTTTCTCCCTGAAGATTCTTTATGAATTACAAAGGAATAAGTGGTTACTTTACAGTGGATAAATCTGGGCGGGCATGACTTTAGCCGAGTTATCAAAGTTAACTATTAGTGAAATAAACATTATCCCATTAGTGGGATAAACTGACATTCTGTGCCTCCTGATGTGAGGGATTGATGACCAGTGTTTAGAAAAAAATCTGTATGTGTATATATAGTTTAGATGTATGTATGTGTGTGGATATACACACATGCATGTGCATATATGTATGCGTGTACACATATGTGTGTGATTTATACATATATCTGTGTATATATACACATACATGTACACACATATAAAGAGATACAGAGATAGAGAAAGCATATGTAGCAAAATGTTCATTTCTGATGAATCTGGGTAGAGGGTAAACAGGATTTCAAAATAAAAAGTTAAAAATAAACCCTCTCTAGGTTACATCCAAGTGAAAGAGAAGATAACGAGATCCATTTTCATGAGAAGGCTGTTAACCAGGTTCCAAAAGCAATTGCTGAAACAAAATACCATATTTGTAGGCATATAACAAACGAAAAATGATCTGTAAGATCTTTGAGGAAAAATGTGCAAAACTTTATTGAAAGTCTTCAAAGAACACCTAAATATACAGAGAGATAGACCATATTCATGGACGGTAAGTGCAGTATCATGAAGTATTAATTCTCCCAAAATTAATCTATAATTTCTATCAAAATCCTAACAGGTTTTGTGCGTGTGTATGTGGGCGGAGTTTGACAAATTAATTCTAAAATTTCTATGGAAGGGCTAAGGGCCAAGGAAACCAAGACTTTTGAAACAAAAGAACAATGTGAGAGACACACCCTAACAGATGTTAAGATGTATGATCGAGCATGGAAATTAAAGGACGATGGCATTAGGATGAAAAACACAACAGTGTTGTAGACAAGAGAGCCCAGAAACAGCCGTTTGCGTATGTGGAAATATGATACACGATAGAGGGGACAGATGGATAACTCAGAAAAAGGAGCTGTGACAAATACTATCCATATGGGAAAAAATTGGATTTCTGCTTCATAACATAGAAATAAATTCTAGATAGATTAAAGAGCTGAATGGGAAAGAACAAAACTTTAAAACTTCTAGAATGAGGGGCCAGCCTGGTGGCGTACTGGTTAACTTCCCATGCTCCGCTTTGGTAGCCTGGGGTTTGCGGGTTCAGATCCTGGGTGCAGACCTACACCCCGCTCATCAAGCCACGCGGTGGCAGCATCCCACATACAAAACAGAGGAAGATTGGCATGGATGTTAGCTCAGCAACAATCTTCCTCAAGCAAAAAGGGGAAGATTGGCAACAGGTGTTGGCTCAGGGCCAATCTTCCTCACCAAAAATAAAAAAATAAATAAAACTTCTAGAATAAATAACCTGCTAGGGCAGAGTGAGGTGCAGGGTATTTGATAAATATGACCTCCTTTCCCATCCACCCCCAAAAGCACAAATCATAAAAGAAAGGTGTCTTTTTAGGGCACTTTTATAAATAATGACAAAAAATACCTATAATAATAACTATCATTTATCATTTACTCATAATCCACCAGTACCGTAATCTTTATATCTATCTAGGGAAGTGTCATTGGCCCATTTTACAGATGAGTGAATTAGCTCCCAGAGAAGTTGTGCCCAAGGTCACACAGCCAGCAAGGACCCAAATCAAGATTTAATCCCAGATTTAGGGGATCCCACTTCCTGTTCTTTTGCCTCTACACCTTACTGTCCCTCTGACACTTTATATTACAGTTAATTACACCCAACACGTATGTGTGTGGGAGATACACCCGGATAAATAACCTTTTTTTTTTTTAAAAGATTTTATTATTTTTTTCCTTTTTCTCCCCAAAGCCACGTGGTACATAGTTGTATATTCTTCGTTGTGGGTCCTTCTAGTTGTGGCATGTGGGACGCTGCCTCAGCGTGGCTTGATGAGCAGTGCCATGTCCGCGCCCAGGATTCAAACCAACGAAACACTGGGCCGCCTGCAGTGGAGCGCGCAAACATAACCACTTGGCCACAGGGCCAGCCCCGGATGAATAACCTTAATACAAACAAGTGTTAGGGTTTCCATGCCCATCTCCCCAACTAGTTCATATCAGATAGTCACTAGGTGCTTAAAAAATAGGACTTTTCTTTCTGCGTGTCACCCTGGGGAGAGAAATAGCTGGCGTGTGATAGAGAATAAGAATAGTCACAAGTTGTGGGGCAGTCGGAATTTGCCAGACACACATTTGCACACGCCACTGACCCTACAGCCATTGCATTAATTCTGTAGCCAGACTTTAGCTGAAGGGACCCCAGTGGGTTGAGACTCGGCACATTTTTTTGGTGCAGTAGGTGAGGTAAAAAGAAATTTAGGGGTGTACAAAGAAAGGGGCCCTGGAGTGTGTGGGAAACTCTTCACTATTTCATTATTAAATGTCAAATGGTTACAAAATTTACAGCCCACTGGAGCGAGTGTGTGACAGATTACAGCAAAGGAAAACAGATATATTTGTATAATATTTTGGCTTTTTACTATAAAGTGTTTAAAATTACCTTAAAAAATAAAGAAGCGTCTAAAGTAAAAATGCAATCCACTCCCTCCCACCCCCACCATTGTTAACGGTTTGTGGAGAACGCTTCCAGACATTTTTTTCTATGCACATAAATCATTTAAAAATACACTTACTAAATGCAATGTGGTACCCTGGACTGGATCCTGCAACAGAAAAAAGACATTAGTGGGAAAACTGGTAGTATCCAATTAAAGCCCAGAGTCTGGTTAATGTTAATGTACCAATGTTAATTTCTCCATTTTGACAAATGTATCGTGGTTGTCTAAGACTGTCAACAGCAGGGGAAACTAGGTGAAGAATACATAGAAACTCCATGTAGTATTTTGGCAACTTTTCTATAAGCCTAAAATTATTCCAAAAGAAAAGGTTTACTTTAAAAATACAGTTAAAAATGTGGATCATATTCAATCTGTTATGCAGCCTACTTTTTCATATTGTAAGGCGTAGGGGACATCTTTCATGCTGAAAATCACCTCATTCTTTTTGATGGTTGGACAGAACACCGTTACATGCACTTACCGCAATTTATCCAGCCCAGGTCCTCTTGCTGAACATTCAGATGGTTGCAATTTTTTCACTTCTACAAACAAGGACTTCCTTGTACATCTATCTTTACATGTCTTCCTGGATATTTCTGTAGGATCAATTCTTGCAAGTGAATTTGTGGCTCCAACGGTATGTGTGTTTGGGCCCAGCCCCATGGCCAAGTGGTTAAGTTCACGCGCTCCGCTTTGGCGGCCCAGGGTTTTGCTGGTTCAGATCCTGGGTGTGGACATGGCACCGCTCGTCAAGCCATGCTGTGGCAGCATCCCACGTAGGGGAACTAGAATGACCTACAACTACGATATACAACTATATACTGGGGCTTTGAGGAGGAAAAAAAAAGGTATGTGTGTTTAAACTTTTCATAGATGCTGCGATTGAATCTATTTTGTTCCCAACAACCTTTTATGGACAGACCTGTCTCTCCACGCTGGGTCTTTATACTCCCTATCCCTGATGTCCACGCTAATCCAGCAAGGGGGAATTGTTATCCGTATTGTATTCCTACCCAGCAGGTTATTGTGTGGGGCACATTCTCTTCCAGCTATGGGTATGGCCATGTTGTCCATGCTGAGATCTAGGTCAAAGGTCCTATACTTGTGGGCCTTTCTCAGGGGTCAAGCTACACAGACTATGTCTCTTGAACCAGAAGCAAAATGTCATTTGAGCACTTTCCAAGAGGCTGTGTGTGTGCTTGACTGGCTGGTGTTTAGACTGTCTGTTCACCTTCAACAGTCAAGGGCGTGGTACTGGAACTTCAGGAGCATCAGGCTTTTCAAACAGGATCATGGGGGTAGAGAAGACTGCTAATTTGGAGAGAGTGGTCAGGAAAAGACATTCTGAGGAGGTGACATTTGAGCAGAGCCTTGAATGAGGTAAGGGGGTGAGTTGTGCAACTATCTGGGGATGACAGCTCCAGTGCAAAGACCTTGAGGCAGGAGCAAGCTTGGTATGTTCAAGGAATGGCAAGGAGGCCAGTGTGGCTGAAGCAGAATGAATGAGAGAGGGAGTGGTCGGAGGTGAGCTCAGAGAGGTAGCCAGGGATCAATTCACGAAGGGCATTGTGGGCTTTTAGATCTCATTCGCATGGGGAGCCACTCAAGGATGAGAGCAGGAGAGTGGCAGGATGTGATTTCCCTTTCAAAGGATACCTGGTCATGGTGCAGAGAGTACCTCTAGAGGGGGAAGCATGGAAGCAAGGAGACCAATTAGGCTACTGCAGAAATCCAGGCGAGGTAGGATGGTGGCATATATTACAGCAGAGTTTCTCATCCTCGGCACTATGGATAATTCTTTGTTGTGAAGGCCTGTCCTGTGTATTGTAGGATGTTTAGCAGCATCTATCTAATTGCGATAACCAAAAATGTTTCCAGAAGTTGCCAAGTGCCCCCTAGGGGGCGAAATCATCCCAGCTGAGAAGTGTCTGCAGCAGACTGACATGCAGGAGGAGAGAAGAGCTTGGGCTCCGGAGATATTTTGAAGCTGAGGCTGAAAAGATTGGCTGGTGGAATGGATGCCGATGGTGGAATGCAAGAAAAAGAAGACTGGAGAATGACCTCAATAGATAAATAAAATGTAGCCTATCCATACAATGGAATAATTCAGCTTTGAAAAGGAAGAAAATGCCGACAGCTGCCACAACATGGATGAACCTTGAAGACATTATGCCGAGTGAAGTAAGCCAGGCACGAGAGGACCAACGCCGTACGATTCCACTTATATGAGTTACCTAGCACGTCAAATAGAGACAGAAAGTAGAATAGTGGGTGCCAGGGGCTGGAGGGAGGGGGGAATGGGGAACTGTTTAATGGGTACAGAGTTTTAGATTTGGAAGAGGGAAAAGTTCTGGAGATCCATTATTGCAGAACAATGTGAATATTCTTTTTTTTTTTTTTTTTAAAGATTGGCCCCCGAGCTAACGTCTGCTGCCAATCTTCTTCTTTTTTCCTTTTATTTTCTTTCTCCCCAAAGCCCCCCAGTACATGGTTGTATATTCTAGCTGTAGGTCCTTCTGGTTGTGCTGTGTGGGATGCTGCCTCAGCATGGTTTTTTGTGGGTTTTTTAAAAGATTTTATTTTTCCTTTTTCTCCCAAAGCCCCCCGGTACAAAGTTGTGTATTTTCAGTTGTGGGTCCTTCTAGTTGTGGTATGTGGGATGCCGCCTCAGCATGGGTTGATGAGCTGTGCCATGTCTGCGCCCTGGATCTGAACCAGCGAAACCCTGGGCCGCCGAAGCTGAGTGCGTGAACTTAACCACTCGGCCACCGGCTGGCCCCGACAATGTGAACATTCTTAACATTGGTTAAGGCAGTAAATTTTCTGGCACATGTATTTTACCACAGTTAAAAATTAAATTAAATTTTAAAAAATATTGCATTAAGGGGCAGGCCCCGTGGCTGAGTGGTTAAGTTCGCACGCTCTGCTTCGGAGGTACGGGGTTTCGCCGGTTTGGATCCTGGGTGCAGACATGACACCACTCATCAGGCCATGCTGAGGCAGTGTCCCACATGCCACAACGAGATGGACCCATAACTAAAAATATACAACTATGTACCTGCGGCCTGTGGGGAGAAAAAGGAAAAACAAAATCTTAAAAAATATATATATTGTATTAAATATATATATATATATACAGTTTCTGGCCAGTAGGGTCTGCTTGATTCTCAGAATGTGGCAGCTGCTGCCAGAAGCTTCCTCTGGGCCATTGGCTCCCGAGTACAAGAGCACCTTCTCTTGGGATGTTTCCCTTAGGCTGCTGTTGAAAGAAAGTGCTGGTCAAACATAATGGCCCCTGGTACCGGCCACACAAAACTCTCCTTCAACATCAGTGCTCCACTCACCAACATGCTCCCTGCAGTTGTCTGTGGAAGGGTCAAACAATAAAGCGCCAGTGAGTCTAAGGGGAAATCTTTGGCACTTCTCTTCTATCCTCTGGATTTCACTTTCGCGTGTTCTGTGAAACTTGCATTTCATGACCGTGCAAATGCATTTCGCAATGTGACTTTCATTTTGCAACCACGGGTTTCAGCGAAGTCCCACGTCGGCCATCTTGCCTAGATAAACACACCAAGACACAGCGTGATTGGGGCGCTTTGTCGGACTTAATGCAACAAATTTCCTGAGAATAGGGAAAGCTGTGAGAATTGCAGTAGGAGGTCTTTTCATAACTGCCCTAAATGGAATCATCAAAGCATTGGAGTGTCACTGTCCCCCCAGGGAGCTGAAGACAGAAGAGGTGCTCCACTTGGGAAAGGCATTCCAGAATGTGGAGCCCAGCGGAAATCCATTCAAACACTGGACACCGCATTCTCCTACACCCCAGCCAAGCCGGGCAGCGTCTCATACCAGGAGAAACCACTTGTCGGAATCCATTTTTCACACCTCAAGGTGATGATTTGAAGCACTAAAAATATTTGCTTTGATTTTATTTATTTATTTATTTATTTATTTTCATGATGTTGAAGTGTCTTTTTTTTTTAAGATTGGCACCTGGGCTAACAACTGTTGCCAATCTTCTTTTTTTTTTAAGGATTGGCACCTGGGCTAACAACTGTTGCCAATCTTTTTTTTCCCCCTGCTTTATCTCCCCAAACCCCCCTGTACACAGTTGTATATCTTAGTTGCTGGTGCTTCTAGTTGTGGGATGTGGGACGCCACCTCAACATGGCCTGATGAGCGGTGCCATGTCCGCGCCCAGGATCCGAACCCTGGGCCGCCGCAGCGGAGTGTGCGAACTTAACCACTCAGCCACAGAGCTGGCCCCTATTTATTTATTTTTTTGAGGATGATTAGCCCTGAGGTAACTACTGGCCAATTCTCCTCTTTTTGCTGAGGAAGACTGGCCCTGAGCTAACATCTGTGCCCATCTTCCTCTACTTTATAGGCTATACTTTATAGCCTACCACAACATGGCTTGCCAAGTGGTGCCGTGTCTGCACCGGGGATCCGAATCGGCGAACCCCGGGCCATTGAAGAGGAACGTGCAAAATTAACCGCTGCGCCATCCGGCCGGCCCCTGCTTTGATTTTAAAATATAAGTCTATTTTGTTATTGTCAATCAGCTAAGACTTTTTTTGTTTTATTTTGAAATAATTATAGAGTCACAGGAAGTTGCAAAGAAGTGTATGGGGAGGTCCCCTGTACCTTTCATCCGGTTTCCTGTAATGGTTACATCTTACAAAATGGTAGTACAATATCAAAACCAGGAATGAGACATTTATACAATGTATGTGTGTAGTTCTGTCATTTTATCATATAGGTAGATTCCTGTAACCATCGAGTCAATCAAGATGGAACTATCCTATCGCCACAAAGATCTTTCTGGTTCTCTCCCTTTACAGTCACACCCACCTCCCTTTCCTCCACAGTCCCTAAACCCTGGGCATCACTACTTTGTTCTCCATCTCTGTAATTTTGTCATTCCGATACTGTTGTAGAAATGCAATCATATAGAGTGTGACCTCCTGAAATTAGCTTTTTCACATCGCATAATGCCCTTGAGATCCGTCCAATTGTTGCATGTATCAATAGTTTGTTCCTTTTTGTCACTGAGAATTCTTTGGAATTCTATTCCATAGAATGGCTGTACTATGGTTTCTTTAACCATTTACCTCTTGGAAGATATTTTGCTTGTTTCCAGGTTTTGACTATCACAAATAAAGCTGCTATGAACATTCATGTACAAGTTTTTGTGCAGACATAAGGTCTCATTTCGCTGGGATAAATGCCCAGGAGGACAACTGCTGGGTCGCAGGGTAAGCGTATGTTTAATTTTTTTTTTATTAAGATTATGATAGATTACAACCTTGTGAGATTTCAGTTGTACATTATTGTTAGTCATGTTGTGGGTACACCACTTCACCCTTTGTGCCCTCCCCCACCCCCCCTTTTCCCTGGTAACCACCGATCAGTTCTCCTTGTCTATATGTTAACTTCCACCTATAAGTGGAGTCATATAGAGTTCGTCTTTCTCTGTCTGGCTTATTTTGCTTAACATAATACCGTCAAGGTCCATCCATGTTGATGCGAATGGAACAATTTGGTCCTTTTTTATGGCTGAGTAGTATTCCATTGTGTATATATACCATATCTTCTTTATCCAGTCGTCAGTTTCTGGGCATTTAGGTTGGTTCCACGTCTTGGCTATTGTAAATAATGCTGCGATGAACATAGGGGTGCATGTGATTCTTGGGATTGCTGATTTCAGGTTCTTAGGATAGATACCCAGTAGTGGGATAGCTGGGTCATAGGGTATTTCTATTTTTAACTTTTTGAGAAATCTCCATACTGTTTTCCTTAGTGGCTGCACTAGTTTGCATTCCCACCAACAATGTATGAGGGTTACCTTTTCACCACAGCCTCTCCAACATTTGTGACTCTTGGTTTTGGATATTTTTGCCAATCTAACGGGTGTAAGGTGATATCTTAGTGTAGTTTTGATTTGCATTTCCCTGATGATTAGTGATGATGAGCATCTTTTCATGTGTCTATTGGCCATACTTATATCTTCTTTGGAGAAATGTCTGTTCATGTCCTCAGCCCATTTTTTGATCGGGTTGTTTGTTTTTTTGTTGTTAAGCTGTGTGAGTTCTTTGTATATTATGGAGATTAATCCTTTGTCGGATAAGTAGCTCGTAAATATTTTTTCCCAATTAGTGGGCTGTTTTTTTGTTTCAATCCTCTTTTCCCTCGCCTTGAAGAAACTCTTTAGTCTGATGAAGTCCCATTTGTTTATTCTATTGTTTCCCTCATCTGAGGGGTTATGGTGTCCGAAAAGATTCTTTTGAAACTGATGTCAAAGAGTGCACTGCCTATATTCTCTTCTAGAAGACTTATTGTTCAGGCCTAATCTTTAGGTCTTTGATCCATTTTGAGTTTATTTTGGTGAATGGTGAGAAAGAATGGTCAATTTTCATTCTTTTACATGTGGCTTTCCAGTTTTCCCAGCACCATTTGTTGAAGAGACTTTCTTTTCTCCATTGTAGGCCTTCAGCTCCTTTGTCAAAGATTAGCTGTCCATAGATGTATGGTTTTATCTCTGGGCTTTCAATTCTGTTCCATTGATCTGTGCACCTGTTTTTGTACCAGCACCATGCTGTTTTGATTACTGTGGCTTTGTAGTATACTTTGAAGTCAGGGATTGTGATGCCTCCCGCTTTGTTCTTCTTTCTCAGGATTGCTTTAGCAATTCGGGGTCTTTTGTTGCCCCATATGAATTTTAGGATTCTTTGTTCAATTTCTGTAAAGAATGTCCTTGGGATCTGATTGGGATAGCATTGAACCTGTAGATTGCTTTAGGTAGTATGGACATTTTAACTATGTTTATTCTTCCAATCCATGTGCATGGAATGTCTTTCCATCTCTTTATGTCGTCGTCAATTTCTTTCAAGAAAGTCTTGTAGTTTTCATTGTATAAATCTTTCACTTCCTTGGTTAAATTTATCCCAAGGTATTTTATTCTTTTCGTTGTGATTGTGAATGGGATTGAGTTCTTGAGTCCTTTTTCTGTTAGTCCATTGTTAGTGTATAGAAATGCTACTGATTTATGTATGTTGATTTTATACCCTGCAACTTTGCTGTAGCTGTTGATTGTTTCTAATAGTTTTCCTAAGGATTCTTTGGGGTTTTCTATATATAAGATCATGTCATCTGCAAACAGCGAGAGTTTTACTTCTTCATTGCCTATTTGGATTCCTTTTATTTCTTTTTCCTGCCGAATTGCTCTGGCCAACACCTCCAGTACTATGTTGAATAAGAGTGGTGAAAGTGGGCACCCTTGTCTTGTTCCTGTCCTCAGAGGGATGGCTTTCAGTTTTTGTCCGTTGAGTATGATGTTGGCTGTGGGTTTGTCATATATGGCCTTTATTATGTTGAGGTACTTTCCTTCTATACCCATTTTATTGAGAGTTTTTATCATAAATGGGTGTTGGATCTTGTCGAATGCTTTCTCTGCATCTATTGAGATGATCATGTGGTTTTTGTTTTTCATTTTGTTAATGTAGTGTATCACGTTGATTGACTTGCGGATGTTGAACCATCCCTGTCTCCCTGGTATAAATCCCACTTGATCATGGTGTATAATCTTTTTGATGTATTGCTGTATTCGGTTTGCCAGAATTTTGTTGAGGATTTTTGCATCTATGTTCATCAGTGATATCGGCCTGTAGTTTTCCTTCTTTGTATTGTCCTTGTCAGGTTTGAGGATCAGAGTGATGTTGGCTTCATAGAATATGTTAGGGAGTACTCCATCTTCCTCAATTTTCTGGAATAGTTTGAGAAGGATAGGTATTAAATCTTCTTTGAATGTTTGGTAGAATTCTCCAGAGAAGCCGTCTGGTCCTGGACTCTTATTTTTGGGGAGGTTTTTGATTACTGTTTCTATTTCTTTACTTGTGATTGGCCTATTCAGATTCTCCATTTCTTCCTGGTTCAGTTTGGGAAGGTTGTAAGAGTCTAGGAATTTGTCCATTTTTTCTAGGTTGTTCAATTTGTTGGCATATAGTTTTTCATAGTATTCTCTTATGATCCCTTGTATTTCTTTGGTATCTGTTGTGATTTCTCCTCTCTCATTCCTAATTTTATTTATTTGAGATTTCTCTCTTCTTTTCTTGGTGAGTCTGGCTAAGGGTTTGTCGATTTTGTTAATTTTTTCGAAGAACCAACTCTTTGTTTCATTGATCCTTTCTACTGTCTTTTTTGTTTCATTATTGTTTATTTCTGCTCTTGTTTTTATTATTTCCCTCCTTCTACTGACTCTGGGCTTTGTTTGTTCTTCTTTTTCTAGTTCTGTTAGGTGCGTTTGAAGTTGCTTATGTGAGCTTTTTCTTGTTTAGTGAGGTGAGCCTGTATTGCAATGAATTTCCCTCTTAGGACTGCCTTTGCTGCATCCCAAATGATTTGGTATGACGTGTTCTCATTTTCATTTGTCTCCAGATAATATTTGATTTCTTCTTTAATTTCTTCAATAATCCATTGTTTGTTCAGTAGCGTGTTGTTTAGTCTCCACATTTTTGCACTTTTCTCTGCTTTATTCTTGTAGTTGATTTCTAGTTTCATAGCATTATGATCAGAAAAGATGCTTGATATTATTTCAACTCTCTTGCATTTATTGATGCTTGCTTTGTTTCCCAAAACATGGTCTATCCTTGAGAATGTTCCATGCGCACTTGAGAAGAATGTGTAACCTGCTGTTTTTGGATGAAGTGTTATATATATATCTATTAAGTCCATCTGGTCTAACTTTTCATTTAATTCTATAATTTCCTTGTTGATTTTCTGTCTGGATGTTCTATCCATTGGTGTTAATGGTGTGTTGAGGTCCCCTATTATTGTATTGTTGTTGATGTCTTCTTTTAGTTCTGTTAAGAGTTGCTTTACAAATTTTGGTGCTCCTGTGTTGGGTGCGTATATATTTATAAGTGTTATGTCTTCTTGGTGGAGAATCCCTTTTATCATTATATACTGTCCCTCTTTGTCTTTCTTTATCTGTTTTGCTTTGAAGTCTACTTTGTCTGATATTAGTATAGCGACACCTGCTTTCTTTTGTTCATTATTAGCTTGGAGTATTGTCTTCCATCCCTTCATTCTGAGTCTGTGTTTGTCTTTGGGGCTGAGGTGTGTTTCCTGGAGGCAGCATATTGTTGGGTCTTGTTCTTTGATCCATCCTGCCACTCTGTGTCTTTTGATTGGGGAGTTCAATCCATTTACATTTAGAGTGATTATTGAAATGTGGGGGCCTACCACTGCCATTTTATGTCTTGTTTTCTGGTTCTCTTCAATTTCCTTTGTTTCTCATCCCATGGTTTAGTCTGTTCTGATGGAGAGCTGCTACTCTCTGTTGTTGTCCTTCTACTTATCTCCTCTGCTCTTGGTTTTGTAGCCCCTTTCCTTTTTTTGATTTTTCAGGAATGAGGGTTTTCCTGAGCATTTCTTGAAGAGGAGGTTTTGTGGCAATGAATTCCCTTAATTTTTGTTTATCTGGGAAAGTTTTTATTTCTCCATCGTATTTGAAGGATATTTTTGCTGGGTAGAGAATTCTCGGCTGCAGGTTTTTGTCCTTCAGATTTTTGAATATATCGTTCCACTCTCTTCTAGCCTGTAAAGTTTCTGCTGAGAAATCTGCTGATAGCCTGATCGGGGTCCCTTTGTAGGTTAATTTCTTCTGCCTGGCTGCCCTTAGTATTCTCTCCTTGTCATTGACTTTTTTTTTTTTAAAGATTTTATTTTTTCCTTTTTCTCCCCAAAGCCCCCCAGTACATAGTTGTGTATTCTTCGTTGTGGGTTCCTCTAGTTGTGGCATGTGGGACGCTGCCTCAGCGTGGTCTGACGAGCAGTGCCATGTCCGCGCCCAGGATTCGAACTGACGAAACACTGGGCCGCCTGCAGCGGAGCACGCGAACTTAACCACTCGGCCATGGGGCCAGCCCTCCTTGTCATTGACTTTTGCCAGCTTCACTACTATATGCCTCGGGGTTGGTCTTCTTGCATTGATAAAGTTCGGAGATCTATTGGCTTCTGTCACATGAAGTTCCATCTCTCTCCCCAGGTTTGGGAAGTTCTCAGCCATTATTTCTTTGAACAGGCCTTCTGCCCCCTTCTCATTCTCTTCTCCCTCTGGTATACCTATAATCCTTACATTGCATCTCCTAACTGCATCAGATAATTCTCGGAGAGTTTCTTCATTTCTTTTTAGTCTTAGTTCTCTCTCCTCCTCCTCTGCCTGCAGCATTTCTATATTCCTATCTTCCAAATTGCTAATTCTTTCCTCCATATTATCGGCCCTACTGTTCAGTGCGTCTAGATTCTTCTTAATCTCTTCTATTGTGTTCTTCATTTCCAGTATTTATGTTTGGTTCTTCTTTATTGTATCGAACTCTTTTGTGACATAGCTCCTGAACTCGTTGAGTTGTCTATCTGAATTCTCTTTTAACTCATTGAGTTTTTTAATGATGGCTGTTTTGAAGTCATCATCATTTAGGTTATATATTTCATTGTCTTTGGGATTGTTTTCTGTGTATTTGTCATTTTGCTTCTGTTCTGGAGATTTAATATATTTTTTCATATTGCTTGATGGTGTAGATTTGTGCCTCCGCATAGAGATAGAGTTTAGTTACTGCTTCCACTTGTTTCTACTTGTGTGGTGGGGGGACAGCTGTTTGTACTGCACCAACCAGGAACCCTATCAGCTGTTGCTAACTGGGCCTGGGCCCCTCCTCGTAGTCACAGTGGTCCTGTGGGTTCCCTCTTCAGCTGTGGGGGCCGTCACGGGGGGCTTCAGGCTGCTGGTGCCTACTGTTGCAGGCCACCTAGATGTGCTCCCTCCTTAGGGTCTGCAGTGGTGTTATGGGCTTTCCCTGCGGCCAGGGGCAGGATCACTTATATTTGCAGCTCTGTCACTGTCGGTGACCGCAAAATCTCACTTGTCCACTATGGGTCACAGCAGAGCTATGGGCATCTTCTGCAGTCTGTGGTTAGCTCGCCTAGCTATGTTACTTTTGTCCCAGGGTCTTCCAGCCTTGTGGTTGCTGGGTGGGTGCTCTCTACTAGTGCTGTGCAGAGGCTATTGCTGAGGCTGCTGTGAGACTGTAGAGTTTCCCCCAGGCCACAGAGCCGGATCGCTGGAACTCTACCCAGCCCCAATCCTCTCCTCTAGGATCTCAGGGAGCCCCTTGCCCTGTCTGGGGTATAGCCGGAGACCTTGCGTTCAGTGGTAGCTGGCCGGCTGCTGCCCTGCCTAGGATTCGGCGTTGTGGATGCCGGGCAGGGCCTCTCTGCTACCCACCCAGCCCCAGTCCTCTCCCAGGAGATCTCCGGTAGCCCCGAGCCCCGCCCAGGCGAAAGCCCGGTCAGTGGGGCCGGCGGGTCACCGCCCCGTTTGGGATTCTCTCCGGGAGCCTCCTGGTGTTGTGGATGCTGGGAAGAGCCTCTCCGCTAATGGTGGGTAAGGGTTTTCCCCACCGCCTCTGGTGTGTAACTCTGGAGCTTCCCTCCAGGCTTAGCTGTAATTGCGGGGGGCTTAGGTAGGGCTCTGGTCACCTGTTTCCACCGTTACTCCTCTGGTGTGCGCTCCCTCCTGCCCTTGGTGTGTGGCGATGTTCTGGGGGGGTCCGCTGTAAGAAAGTCACTTGCAGGTACTAGGCTGTTCGGGGGTTGGGGTCGGAGAGTTTTCACCTATCTCCACCTCCTCCCGGAGGGAAGTCCGTCCGCCTTCCGATGTATAGCAGCGTGGGTCTCTCAGGTGTCCTGAGATGCTATATGGATATCCTTTGTTAAGCGATGAATGTCCAATTAGTTGTAGATTCGAAGGGGAAGAGACAAAGAAGACTACTCATGCCGCCATCTTGGATCTTCTCATGTTGTATGTTTAATTTTTAAAGAAACTGCCAAACTTTTCCAGAGCAGCTGGGCCATTTCACATTCCCACCAGCAATCTATGAGGGATCCAGTTTCTCCATATCCTTGTTAGCAATTGGTGTTGTCACTATTTTTATCTTAGCCCTTCTTTTTCTTTTTTTTTTAAAGACTGGCACCTGAGTTAACAACTGTTGCCAAACTTTCTTTTTTTTCCTGCTTTTTCTCCCCAAATCCCCCCAGTACATAGCTGTACATTATTAGTTGTGGGTCCTTCTGGTTGTGACATGTGGGATGCAGCCTCAGTATGGCCTGATGAGCAGTGCCATGTCCACGCCCAGGATCTGAACCAGTGAAACCCTGGGCCACCGAAGCGGAGTGCATGAACTTAACCACTCGACCACGGGGCCAGCCCCTATCTTAGCCCTTCTGATAGGAGTGTGGTGATGTCACATGCTGGTCTTAAATTGAATCGCCCTAATGGCTACTGATGTCAAACATCTTTTCATGTGCTCACTTGCCATCCATATGTCCTCTTTGGTGAAGTGTCTCTTTATGGCTTGCCCATTGTGTATTTGGAGTGTTTGATTTTTTAAAGGTTGAATTTTGAGAGTTCTTTATAGAGTCTGGATAGGAATATATCAATTCATATATGTGGTATATCCATACAGTGGAATATTACTCAGCCATAAAAAGGAATGAGGCACTGATATAGGCTACAACATGGATGAACCTTGAAAACTATGCTAAGTTAAAGGAGTGGGACACAAAAGGCCACATATTGTGGATTCCATTTATCTTAAATGTCCAGAAAAAATCCATAGAAATTTGTCCAAATGTCTATGTCCACATCCATAGAGACAGAAATTAGATTAGTGGTTGCCAGGGGCTAGTGGAGGGGGGAATAGGGATTGACTGCTAATGGGCAAAGGGTTTCTTTTTGGGGTGATGGGATAGATAATGGTGGTGGTTGTACAACTCTGTGAATATATTAAAAACCAAAAAAATTGTACCTTGAGCTTGTTCAGGATCTCTCAGAGAGGGGTTATGGATGAGAAGGCCTAAGGCTCCCCTCCACTTGCCAGGCATGCTTTGCCATGGGCAAATAACTGGATCTGGCCAATGAGACTTGAAAGGATGTCTGTTGGGAATTTTCTGGGAAAGTCTTCCTAGCTTTTAAAATAGGACATAGGATGGAGACGTTCCGCCTTTTCTGGCTCTGAACATTGCCGTATGTGTGAGATACTCAGAACTGAGGCCGCCATCTTGAGCCATGAGGGAAGCCAGCCGAGAGGAGGGGCCACCTTGCTGATGATGGCAGAGTAGACTGATGGGAAGGACCTGGGTCCCTAATGATGTCATTCCACTGAATGAACCAATCCTGAAATGGCTTTACCTCTGGACTTCTTGTTAAGTGAGGTAAAAACTCCCCTTTCTGAATGGCTTTGATTGTGTTTTCCATTACTTGCAGCCCAAAACACCATAACTGAGAGAGTATCAAATGCTGCTGAGATATCAAGTGATACAAGGACAATGCAGAAACTGCAGTTGCCCCCTGCATCTGCTCTCCCTTCTCACGCAGTAATAGAATTCTTAGCTGGGCTATGGCCGTGAGAAGTTCTAGCCATGAGATATGAGCAGAAGGATTGTGGGTGTGCCTGTTAGGGGAAGGGGCAAGCCCTTCATTCCTCCCTTCTTTCTCTTTTCATTGGCTGTCATGGACTGAATGTGTCCCTCCAAAATAATCTTGAAGCCCTAACCCCCATGTGACTGTATATGGATAAGGTTAAATGAAGTCATAAGGGTGGGGCACTGATCCCATAGGATTAGTGTCCTTATAAAAAGATAGAGAGTGCTCTCCCCCCACACGTGAGGACACAGTGAGAAAGTGGCCATCTGCAAGCCAGGAAGAGGGTCTCACCAGGAACCAAACCCTGCTAGAACCTTGATCTTGAACTTTCCAGCCTCCAGAACTGTGAGAAAATGAATTTTTGTTGTTTAAGCCGCCCAGTCAGTGGTATTCTGTGACAGCAGCCAGAGCTAAGTGATACCCTGGCTGAAATAAACGCACGAGGGCGGAGGCTGGAGCAGCCATCTCAGATCGTGAGAAGGAAGCCCTGTGTTGAGGACGGCAGAGCAACAAGAGAGAAGAGATCTGGCTCCTCAGTAGTCGTGACTGTCATACCATTTCTAGATCTCCTGCCAGGACTCGGAGGTAGATACTGTTTGGATATTCGGATATCGTTTAAGCCTCTGTTAGTTTCTGGTGCATCACTCTCTCCTCCTCCCCTCTATGGGAGGGACACACTTTCCCTGCCTCACTGATGGATAACAGGCTTGACCATGTGACTTGCTTTAGACGATGAAATGAGCAGATGGGATGTATGCCACACCCAAGCAGCAGTTTTAAATGTGCCTGCATGGTTTGGCCGGGTCTTTGGGGTTTCTGCCTTCCTCTACAGGAGGAGCATGCCCCAGGGGACTGCTGCTCCTTTAGCCTGGGTCCTGGAATGAGAGGCACACAGAGCGGACCTGAACCCAACCCACGGCCTGAAGTAGAGCTAGCACAGCCGATGTGCAGAACCACGGGAAAGGAACTGTTGCTGTAAGCCATTGCCATCTGGGGGATGTGTGTTATGCACGTCAACACAGCAAGGACTATGCATATGGGTTCTCTCGGTTACATTATCAGAGCTCAGGGGATAAAACAAGGGATGAAAGCTGTCCCTTGAATCTCATGACATGGAGGTCTCTGGTGACCTTAGGAAGACTTGCCTCAGTGGAGTAGAGAGGACCGAAGGCAGACTGGAGCAAGTTGAGCCGTGAGTGAGAGGTAAGGAGATGGAGATGTGTGTGCAGGCAACTCTTTGGAGAAGTTTGGCTGTGATGGGAGGAGAGAGGTGGGCCACTAGCTGGAGGGGGAAGAGGAATCCAGTGGCAGCCGTGGAGATGTGCGGCTCACATCTCCCGCGGAGACAGAACCTGCTGATGAGCCATGAGGAATGCCGTCAGGGGACAGACTCCAAGGTGTAGCCCCTTCCAGGTCTACTGCAGCATCGGAGCCAAGGCCACACTATCCCCAGCATCCCTGGGCCAGTGACAGATCTCCGGAGGGATACCAGGGCCTGGCCATTTCCACCCTAAGGACCCACCAGACACAGGTTGAAAGGATTTTCTCTTGGTTGCTTTTAATGACAGAGACCAGGGTATGCTTAGAAGCCCTTCGCGAAGAATCCAGTTGGGAAAGAGCAGCTGAACATGGAAGAGAGAAGATGTGCAGATGGAGAGAGGGAGGTCCCTGGAAAGGCAGAGGGAGACGGGATGTGGACCATGGGGGAGTGGTTCCTCAGGCCAGGGGAGGAGGGAAGAGGCAGGAGAAAGGAGGGATGGGTGCAGGCCCATGAGGACGTATAGGTTTGGGAGCAGGGTGATGGCAGACTTCCCATCACAGTTTTCTTTTTCTGAGAAGTGGGAAGCAAGATCAGGCCCGAGGGTCAGGAAACTGAGTCCCGCAGGGCACACGGGCTGTGTCTCTGTCTTCCTCTCTTGGCTTCAGTCTTCCCACCTGCACCATAAACAGCTCAGGCTAGACCCCAGGTCCCCAAACTCATTTAATCCTCAGGAGCTTTTCAAAAATATACTTTCGGGGGCCCCCATCCCTGAACTGCTGGATCGGAATCTTGGGGGCAGAAGTGGTGGGAGCAGGAATCTGTATATATTTTAGAAGTGCTCCCAGGGGTGATGTGGATGCACAGCCAGGTTTGGAAGCACCTGGTGGGGTCTCTTGGGGGCCCCTCCAGCTCCGAAAATCTGTGGTTCCAGTTGGAAGGTGGGAAATTCCAGTACTGCATTTTATTGATGCTACAAACCACAGAATAAGCCACATGCCACTTCTTGTCACCTATAACTACAAAAGCCCAAAAGATACCAGAACTTAAGAGGAGCCACAGAAAGGCAAAATCAGCAGCAAAATAAGTGGCCCTGCCTCTGTGGGAAGCCCACGGCACACACTCTTGACTCCAGAGACCGTGTTTCCAAAACCCCAGGTGGGATGTGGGTCAGGACATGAGCAGGGGACCCCCCTGGGCAACAGGACGAAGGGCTGGATCAGGGCTGTCCTAGGAGATCAGGGATGCTTGGCTGCCCTGCAAAGGGGTGGAGACCTGTCCTGGGCTCTCTGAAACCTGAGCCCTGGGGGAGGAGGAGGGGGAGGAGGGGCTCCCTGGCCCTGAGAGTCCCAGCCGGCCCCCCACTGCCGTAGCTCCTCCTCTGCCTGGGTATCCCTTCTTTGCGGCAGTTCCAGACGCGCAGGCCACCTCCACCCTCCCTTTGCCTCCCTCTGCCCCTAAGGTCGGGTGGGCACAGGCTGGGGCCACCAGCCAGCTCCATGGACAGGGACTTTGCTTCTGCTCACCTTCCAGCTTTGGGAAGAAAAGAAGAAAGGTCTGTGTTGATTTCCATTTGGGGGATCCTTCCCCCTCCTAAACTTTTAGAGGCAGAAAAAGTGATTTGACTTTGGATTGACTGTAGAAGAAGGGACAGAAAGAGCCCAGAACATTCCCCCAGGTATGAATCCTTCACTTTTGCTGATGTGTGTGTGTGTGTGTGTGTGTGTGTTTGTGTGTGTGTGTGAGAGAGAGAGAGAGAGAGAGAGAGAGAGAGAGAGAGAGAGAGGGAAAGAAAGAAAGAAAATATGACAAGTTTTCCAGGGCTCAGATGTGGAATCGTCCTTGATGATCTCCCGGGCCCCTTCTGACTGCTTCATTCTATGATTCTGCAGCCCTAAACTTCATTCAGTCATTCAACAAACATTTCCTGAATATCCACCCTGTGCCAGGTGCTACAGCTGAATAAGATCTGGTCCCTGCTCTTGAGGGTCCACAGTCTAGATGGGGAGACAGTAATAATAACAGCTACCTCACTTATGGTGGGTCAGGCACCATTTTATAAATTATAACATTTTATAAATGTTAGCTCATTTCATCTAGCAATGGTTGTTAGAGGTAAGTGTATTACTAAGGCCATTTTACAGATGAGCACAGTAAGGCTGAGAGAGGTGAGCTCAAACAGCTAGCAGGTGGTGGAGCTGATGTTTCTAACCACTGTGTTTTGCTGCCTGCCCCACACTGTGAAGAGACAGTTCAGGGCAGAGGTGCACTGAGCAGGGCGGGGAGGGAGAATGAGAGCTTTAGAGAGCCACAGTTCATGGAGGGAAGGGCCTGGTTAAGCCTCATTTTGGCCAAGGTTCCCAGGAAGTGAGGCAGGAGCTGGCTTGGGGGCCAATCCTGGAGCTGGAGGTGAGGCAGGCTCCACAAGGCCCAATGAGAGATCTTGGGGCAGCTGGGACTTGAGGTCAGTGGGGGTCTGGATCAAGGGTCCTTCTTGGGGCTGGCCCAGTGTTGTAGCAGTTAAGTTCGGGGTGCTCCACTTCGGGAGCCCCAGGTTCACAGGTTCAGATCCTGGGCATGGATCTATACCACCATTCATCAGCCGTGCTGAGGGGGCAACCCACATACAAAATAGAGGAAGGTTGGCACAGATGTTAGCTCAGAGCTAATCTTCCTCGGCAAAAAAAAAAAAAAAAAAAGGTGGGGGAGTCCTTCTCCCTCACTCCTGGGCCAGAGTGGCAGGAGAGAGTTGGGGGGACTTGAGGATTCCCAGCCAGGTTCCCTGGAAGCTGTGTGTCCCCATACTCACATAGTGGGGTCTGACCTGACCTGGGGGGCAAGTCTGAGATTTGAACCCAGTAGCCTGAGAGGTGGGTAGCCCCAAGGGCCTGGAGACAGAGGCAGGCCCAGATCACTATGCATCCTCTCAGCAAAGACTGGACCCTGGCTTCCCCCTCCTCACAGCTCTCTACTCCCATCTCCCAGCTGTCCCCAAGTTAGGCACAGCGAAGACAAAAGCTGATTATTCCACTGGGGGCTGTACTGGGGCCCCATGAATGGGGTATTGAAAACCCTGTGCCCACATCCAGATAGGTTTTCATCTTCTCCCCAACCAGACTTTGTATGCCAGGACCGAGGCAAAGCCAGGGAGAGATGGGTGTGTATGTGTGTGTGAGTGTGTGTTCGGGCTGGGAGGGGCACTCATGTCCCCGGGCACCTCACTCTCAATATATCCCAAACAGAATCATCCTCTAAACCAGCCCCCCATCTCCCCGCCACCTCCAATCATCGTCCACACACTCTGCATCAGACTCCCGCTGGAAGTCTGCCCAGAAGGGGACGTGGGCGTGTTTCTGGGATGCTGGCTATGCCGTGAATGTTCCCTGAGATTTATGCACTTATGATTTATGCACTTTTTGGTTTGTATACCTTAATCCAAAATTTTAAAAAAAAATCTTCAAGGGCTTCCCACCCCTAAAGGGCAGAGCATCCCGAATGGCATTTACTTTCCCAGCCCTTCATTTTTGCATATTCCTGAGTCATGGGAACTATATTTCCTTGATTTTTTTCTTCAAATTGACTCATTTCTTCTGATTTAAATTAACTTTAAAGGGAAACTTTATATTGCTCCAAATAAATAGAAAACCAGAATGCTTTGCCATAAATAGAAGTCATTGTAAAAAAAAATAAATGAAAAGAGTAAATGTCCATCTCCCCCTAAAATTATGTGAGTTGCCCCCAGTGGCACCAACACCAGGCTTTGGGATGTGCTGCCCTGGAGGATAAACTTGGAGCCCTTGGCACAGCCTTGAGGGCCTGTGTTGGTTTGGGCCAAGACAACCTTCCAACATCATCCCCCACCACTTGCTTTCACACACTCTTTGCTTCAGCCAAACCTAATTCCTCAGAAGTTTCCCTGCCCCCGTCTCCTGTCTTCCTGGTCTCCCAGCTGTTGCCCCCGCTGCTGCCTCCACTCAGAATGCCAAACCCATCCGGAAATGTCACTTCCCCCTGAATCTATCGCTGGGCCCTTCCAGCTGGAAGAAGTGACTTGAGATCTTGAATTCCAGATGTTCCAGCTGTGACTCCTCCAGGGCCCCTTGATGGGACCATCTGAAAGGTCGTCCACCAGCTGGACGCCAAAGGAAGCAGAGATGTGCATTGGTTCCCAGCTGGATGAGAAGAGCAGGGGGTGGAGGCCAGGAGACGGGAGCACCACCCCTCCCCTCCTCCCCCCAGCCCTCTCCTTCCTCTTCCTCTTGCCGCTGGGTGAGTGCTCTCCCCCTCACCTGTCCCTCCCCTTTCTGGCTTTCAGTCTCCCCAGCTGTAAATTATGGTGGGAGGTGGTCTGTAAATGAGGTGGCTTCCAGCATTCTTTCCAGCTCTGACAACTAACCAGGGATGATGAAAGCCAAGGGTCTGAGTTGGGGGAGGGGAGGGCTCGATCCTGGAAGTGAGGGCTCAATGTTCGCAGGGTATGGGCGGTTAGAGGACACTGGAAATAGGGAAGGAGGGAAGGGGGTGGCCTCCCCAATGGCTGTTGGAAAGGCAGCTGGTAGAACAGATGGAATCCATGACTATCCTAACTTAAGAAAGAAGAAACTGAGTCTTGGTTTTTTCGTCTGTAAAATGGGTACACTAGTACACGCCTCAGAGTGCTATTGTAAGAATGCTATGAGGCAATGGATGTGAAAGTGCACAAGGGAGGGGCTATTCCGGGGTTTTCATTTTCCCATGCTAGGCCAGCTTCCCTGTTTCCTCCCCACCTCTCAGGTCATGTGCTCTACCCTTTGTTTGCTGCGTGGCCTTCAGCAAGTTGCCTAACCTCACTACACCTGAAGTTCCCCCATCTGTAAAATCCTACCTCCCTCATAAGTGGCCCCAAGGATTAAGTGAGCCAGGCCACATAAAGCAATGAGCACAGTGCTGGGCATATGCGTACATGAGAGCTGAAGCAAGAGGACTTACATAGGGAAATCTTTTGGGGGAAGTCATAATGAATCCCAAAGGCAATTTACACACTTAAGGCGGAGATCCTGAGCATCTGCTGAGTCACAGGCTCGGGGCAGGGGGCCGTGGGGGACACCCAGATGAGACATGCATGGCCCACATCACCAGGCAGAAGGCTCGGAAAGGGGCATGTATATGGTGCCCAGGGATTCAGAGGGAATAGAGACCACTTCCAGCTGAGGCTTCCCAGAGGAGGGGCCTCCACGCTGGGGCTGGAAGGACCCGCAGGGCTGTAAGGAGCAGGGAGAGCCAGAACGGTTCAAGCAGAGAAGACTGCAGGGTTAAAGACTTGGAGACAAGATTGATGGGAGATTAAGAAGTAAGGTAAGGCTGCTCAGAAGATACCAGAAGGCTCTGTAGAGAACGCTCAGGGTCTAGGACTCCTGCAGGAAATGGGGAGCTTTTGAGGAAATTAGCAGTAGAGTGGGATGAACAGATCCATGTCTCAGGCAGACCTCTCCGGTGGCCCACGGCCCAGTGGGCAAGGGGTGAAGAAAGGCAAATTAGGACAGTCAGGGAAAGAGAAGATGGGGCTTCAGGGAAACACGGGTAGTGAAGAGGAGTGGGACAATGGTGAGGACCATGGCGGGAGGGGAGGCTGTGTTCCTGGGGCCAGGCAGCCAGGGGAGGGGGCAGAGGGGCCAATGCTCTTCCTCACTCTGTTCCAGCCAGCGCCCTACAGCTTACTCCACTGCCCTTTCCAGGTAGGTGCCCCTGGCCCTCTGTCCCTCCCCCAGCCCTGCCCCTCAGGTAGGTACTCAGATGCTCAGACAGAAGAGCTCAGGGAGTAATGACTACGTAGTGCTCCAGTACCCTAGATACCCCCAAAGGGGTGGCACCAGTCTCCCCATTTTACAGAAAGGGAGGAACAAGGCCGAGAAGGGTCTGTTCCCAAAGCTCCCATGGTTTCATGGCAAGGTGAGCATCCTGTAGGTTGGGCCCGGTCATCCCCCTGGTGCCAGATCAACCCTCTCCACAGAGCTAAGGCTGGTGGGGGGCCCGAGCCGGTGCCAGGGGCGCCTGGAGGTCCTGCATGGCGGCTCCTGGGGCAGTGTCTGCGACGATGACTGGGACGTGGTGGACGCTAATGTGGTGTGTCGTCAGCTGGGCTGTGGTCTGGCGCTGCCGGTGCCTCGGCCCCTCGCCTTTGGCCAGGGTCGAGGCCCCATCCTGCTGGACAACATTGAATGCCGAGGGCAGGAAGCTGCGCTGAGCGAGTGTGGCAGCAGAGGCTGGGGCGTCCACAACTGCTTTCACTATGAGGACGTGGCTGTCTTGTGCGATGGTGAGCAGAGGCCTGTGACCCAGGAGGGCAGACAGACTGTGGCAGGCAGCAGGGCTGTAGGCTAGATAAACGAAGGGACTTCCCAGCATTAAGACTGTTCCACGCAGAAGACCAAGGCAGTGGCTGCATTGCATGATGCTGGGGAAGAGCTTCAGCTGGGCTGTCAGGAGTCCTGGGCCCCAGTGGTGCTTCTGGCTCATTGTGTGATCTCAGCCAAGAACCAGTATTGCTGCTTCCATGTGGGGTCTTGACTGTTCCAGCGGAGCCCTCTCCCCATTTTTAAAACCAGATGATTGGGGTAAACCCTGGCCATAAGGTTCACTTGGTATAGAGCTAACTCAGAAATCTCTGAGAGGCTTTGACTTGAGAGCAGTAGTTCCGGTTTTCAAGAAAATCCCCTGCAAGGATCATTAAAACACAGATTGTGGCCCCATCCCAGAGTTTCTGATTCTGCAGGTCTGGGATGGCACCTGAGAGTTTGTATTTCTAACAAGTTCTCAAGTGACGTGATGCTGCTTTAAGGACTCAAAGAACTCCTCTAAACCAAACTCCTCGAAAGCTACTGCTGCCAGGACTCCTCTCATACCCCAGGGTTCCTGGCTTTGACCCTTTGTGTGGCCAGAGGCCCTGAGGGGCAGGTACCTTAGGGGTCCATGCCCTGCCCCTCACACACCCGTGGGAATGAGGATGGAGAACAGAAAGATCCATGCATCTCCTCCCTTCTACCCTGCTTCCTTCCCAGAATTTTTGCCCACGCAGACCCCAACAAGGAAAGTGTTAACCAGTAAGGCACCCTCTACAACTTCCCAGAATGGGAAAGGTAAGTAAGGGCGATGTGGGGGACCACCGGGGTCTGGGGAAAGGGACCCAGGGAGGAGTTCCCCGCCCCTCCCCTCGTGGGAGGAAGAGAGGGATTACGGATGGGCCAGTTTGGTCATTGCCCCTCCCCACCCTGCCCTCTGCAGCCCCTGAGGCCCAGCATGGTCTGGATGGGGAAAGAGGATTCATTCCTGTGGGATGATTTAAAAAAGCACAAGGTCGGAGAAAGTGAGAGAGGTGGGGACTGGAGCTTAATCTAACGGGAGAGTCAGATATGCACAGAAATGCTGATAATGATGTAGAACGAGAAAATGAAAACTACCCTAAAAGAGAGACAGGTCAAAAGGCAAGGAAGAGCAGAGGAGGAAGAGGGTCGCATCCGTCAGAGATCAGGGAGGGCTTCCTGGAGGAAAAGTTGCCCCATTGAAATAGTAAATGAGGAAGCCATACATCCTAGACGGTTAGGAGAGCATCGACACGGGCATACGCGGAGGGTTGGTTTTAGGTAGGAAGTGACACAGTCAAAGCCGATCTGTCCCCTGATCCCACAAACCACCCCCAATCTGAACTGCGAGGAGGTAGTGCCCTGGGGAAAGTGGGTGAGCAGCTCCTCCTGGGTTTTAGGTCCCGGGGCACCGTGCACCATGGGTACATGGAGGGCCTGGGGCATTTTGGAAGTGTTGAGTTAGACGCACTTTTGGAGGAGATGGGAGGCAGAGCCCTGTGGGAGACGCTCCCTGCCCCCGTCACCAGGTGAGGGCAGCGTGCGCCTGGTGGGGGGCGCGGGCCCGTGTCAGGGCCGAGTGGAGATCCTCCATGGCGGCCTGTGGGGCACCGTGTGTGACGACGACTGGGGGCTACCGGACGCGGCCGTAGTCTGCCGCCAGCTGGGCTGCGGGGCCGCTCTGGCCGCCACCACCAACGCCTTCTTCGGCTATGGCACGGGGCACATCCTGCTGGACAACGTGCACTGCGAGGGCGGCGAGCCCCGCTTGGCCGCCTGCCTGAGCCTGGGCTGGGGCGTGCACAACTGCGGCCACCACGAGGACGCCGGCGCGCTCTGCGCAGGTGCGAGCTCTGGGGGCGGGTGGCTGCCCTGGTGCTTCCCAGAGCTCTCCAGGAAGGTCCCAAATTACTTTTAATGTCTCGGTACTGCTTTAGAAATGCCTCAGAAAATCCCAGTACTCTGTGGTAAGCTCCACAGCTATGGAATACTGCAGTATTGCTCTGCCAATACTCCAGAATTATCTAGCCGTACCCCAAGAATGCTTCCGGAATTTTCCAGCAATTTCTAAGTACTCTTCATCGGGTACTTCAGAGTAAAGTAATAGTAGTCTAGAATTGCCCCAGAGATACTCTACAATTCTTTCACTGTAGCCCCGGTATGTCCCCAGAATTACCCAGCACAGCCCTTTCTAACACTGCTGCTCTCGTAAAAGTATTTCCCCGCACCTAGCCCCTCTGTCATTTGGAGAAGTTTTCTGAGCAATAGGAATAATAGGGCCAATAACGGCACTTCACAGATGAATGTCGCTCCGCAGGATGTAAAGTGCTTGCCCGTGCCACAGAGCAAACCAGGGACAATCATCCCCAGTTTAGATGGGAAAGCTGAGGCCCAGCAAGGCAGAGCCTTACCTGCCCGTGGTCACACAGTGAGCCCTGGCCAAGCCATGGCTAACCTTGCTGCATGGTCTCTGGCATGCCCCTTGCCCTTTCTAGTCCTGTTTTCTCTGTAAGATAGGGATAATAAGTCTTGTTCCGCAAGCATAACCCTCCCTCGTTGGCAAGGCCTTCTCTCTCTCTCCATCTTGGACACACACTTGGCTTCTGAGAACACTGGAGAGAAATGAAAGCATGTCTGCATAAGCCCTATATAAGCTGTGAAGTGCACACCTGTGCAGCACGAGTAAATTACAACCACTGTCAAAGTAGGGAGACCTCCTTGGACCCCAGCTGGGGCTGAGCCCCCAGCTCTGGAAAGAAAACCTGTTGTTTTCTCCAGAGAGACCCTCCCATCCTTCCCTGCAGCCCAGGGCTGACTAGGAACCAGAGCCTGGGCCTCTGACCCTGCTCCCTTCCCTCTTGCTCTAGTCCTGGGCCTCCCGACTCTCGCAGCACTGCCACCCTCAGCCACCAGAGAGGACTGGGCCTGGCACACACAGCCAGAGGGTAAGGAGGCTGGAAGGGTAGGGGCAAGGTGGGTGGAACTGGGAATTGGGAAGGCTGTTCTGGATCCCCAGGGAGGGGGGGCCTGACTAGCGGAGCAGGACTTTCGGCCAGATGGTAAAGAGGTGGGTGAGAGAACAGATGGGCAGATGGAGCAAGGATGAAATCCAGAGCTCTGAAAAGTTCAGCAGGGTGGGAGGAGGTAGGAAGAGATTTCTTCAGAGCTCTGAAGTAGAATTTGAATTGGTGCTGAGGTTGGAAATCGAGAAGCCTTGTGAGATGGCTGAGATAAACGGTGAATGAAGGAATTAGGTTGGAATTAGGGATCCAAGTATCATTAGGATTGAAATTAGGATGATGGCTGGAAATAGGATTCGGTTCATTCCTGCCGTTTCTGAGGACCCCCATCACACCAAGCAACATGGTGACTCTAGGATGGAGGCTCAGTGTGGGGTGCAGGTGTGGTACAGCTGGGGATCTCAGGAGGCGCCCCTGTGCCCTGCTGCAGGCCGGAAGGCCTCCTTGTTCCCTTCAAATACTCTAGATGTCCTGTCTCCGCAGCTACAGGAGTTGGTGCCCTGCCTTCCAGGGAGACGGCACTGTTCACCACACCTGCCTGGGCCTTGGGGAAGAAAAGTAAGTGGCAGAGCCTGGGTTCCACAGCGGGGTGGGAAAGGCTGGGGCTGGGACTCTGCCCCAGAGCTGGCAGCCCCAGCCCAGACCCTCGGCCGCGGGCCTGTGCGCCCCGCAGGCAGGTGGCTGCGGCTGGTGGGCGGCCCGGGCCCGTGCCGCGGCCGCGTGGAGGTGATGTACGCCGGGGGCTGGGGCACCGTCTGCGACGATGACTGGGACTTCGCGGATGCGCGCGTGGCATGCCGCGAGGCGGGCTGCGGGCCTGCGCTGGGCGCCACAGGCCTGGGCCACTTCGGCTACGGCCGCGGCCCTGTGCTGCTGGACAACGTGGGCTGCACCGGCACGGAGGCCCGCCTGAGCGACTGCTTCCACCTGGGCTGGGGCCAGCACAACTGCGGCCACCACGAGGACGCGGGCGCGCTCTGCTCAGGTGAGGCCGCGGCGGGACCGCGCAGAAACGTATACTGCAGCCTGGGCGGGGCCCGTCTGCCTCCGAGGAGTGGGCGGGGCCACGCGGAGGCACGTACTGCGGCGCGGGCGGCGTAAGGCAGGATCTGAGAAATGGGCGTGGCCGCGCGCAGGCGCGTACTGAGACCTGGGCGGGGCGAGCCAGGCTCTGAAGAATGGGCGGGGCCGCGCGGCGCTCTGCCGCACTGTAGCGTGAGCCGGGCGGAACAGGACGCAGTCCGCAGAGAGAGGCGGAGCCCGACCATTGACGCGCCCTGCGGCTGCGCAGCGTGGGCGGGGCCGGGAACGGAGAGCCAGCTGCAGGGAGAGGGTGGGGCGGGGCCTCGGGAGGGCGCGCGCTCTGCGGCAGTGACGGGCGGAGTCCGAGGGGAGAGAGCGAAGGCCCGGGATAGAGTGCGAAAGTCTTTACAGGGCGGGGCCGCGGCACTTGTGCTTTGCCGAGTCAAGGACGCGCAAAGCTCTAAGAGGCAGAGACGGTTGATTAGCTTTCGGGGAGCAAGCGTCTGACCTTTGGGAGGAATCAATGGAAAGGGACGTTTGCAGAGTCGGACACATTTTTAAATGCTTCTCTTCACTAATTGGTGTGGGAATTAACATCTTCACCCTCGTGTGGTGCCCCGGACCACAAAGGGGTAGGCCACAAAGGGTTCTGCTCTGGGTCCCACGGTGAAAGAAACAACCCCATTTCTGATCCAAGGGGCAGAGAGCAGTTCTTCAGGGTCCTGTGAGGCCCCTCTGTCCCTAGGTCAGGCTTCCCTTGGGAAGGTAGGAGGTGACCTGGCCTCAAGGAACATGTTCCCCAGTGTGACAGCCACTTCTGTTTCTTTGTCCTGCTGAGCCAGGCCCAGAGGAGCTAGGACTGCAAGTCCAGCAGGACGGTTCTGAGACCACCTGGGTGCCCACTCCTCGGCCCAGAGACGGTAGGTGCCCACAGGCCCCAGGAGGAAGGCAGAGGCATTAGGATGTGAAGGACCAGCGTTGAGGGAGGTCACAGCCTGGGGTAACGCAGCTCGCCAGATCCTGGAACCTTTGTCCTTTTATGCTAATCTCAGACCTTATTAATAGGGGTAGGGTGTCCAGAAAGAGGGAAGTGGATTTTAAGCTCGACCAATCTAGAGATTTCTAGAGATGAGACCAAAATGAGGGGATGGGGCTTCTGTCCTGAGGAGAGAAATGAAAGAATTCACTCTAACCCAGGAAGTCCAGAGGGCGAGGGGAGACAATGACTTGCAGGGGAAATAATCACAATCTCCAGAGATCGGCCCTGGGGCTGAAGTTCTGGGATTATGAACAGAGGACTAAGGGGGAGCAGATATGAAGCACTCTGCATGCACACAGCACCCCACAAAGTCTTTTACACGTTCCTCCAGTCCAGAGACTGAGTCTGGACTGATGCCCATTCTATTTTAATCTCATTCGTCTGCCCTCCTCCAGTGGCTCCCAGGGTGGTGCTCTGTCTCAGGCCACCGCCCTTTGCCTCCTTTATCTACCCCTTCCCTGGCCTAGCTTGGGAGTGGCCTGGCATGGGTCAGCCCCTTCCAGCCCCGGGCCTTGTCCTCCCACAGGGCACCTACGCCTGGCCAATGGAGCCCACCGATGCGAGGGGCGTGTAGAACTTTTCCTAGGGCAGCGATGGGGCACTGTTTGTGATGATGCTTGGGACCTGCGGGCAGCCAGTGTCCTGTGCCGCCAGCTGGGCTGTGGCCAGGCCCTGGCAGCTCCTGGCGAGGCCCACTTTGGCCCAGGCCGAGGCCCCATCCTCCTGGACAATGTCAAGTGCCGTGGGGATGAGAGTGCCCTTCTGCTCTGCTCTCATATCCGCTGGGATGCCCACAACTGTGACCACAGCGAGGATGCCAGTGTCCTGTGCCGGCCATTGTGACCCACCCTGCTCTGCAGACCACCTCTTCTGGGAGCCTACTGTGGCCTGCCCCTCTTCCTCCAGGAAGCCCTCCTCCTGTGACAACTGCAGTTCACTCTGCCCTTCCCTCCCTTGCCTGGGTGAGAGCCTGCTCAGACAGTGTGGTCCTGTATAGAGGAGGCTGGCTCTACTCCATCAACTTACTGTGTGACCTCACCTGTCATCAGCTATTGTAGGCCCAATTCAATGAAAGCTCCCACTTTCTGCTCAGCCAAAACAGAAAACGTGGGAAGGGAATGATTCCTAATTCTCCTCCTTGGTGGGGCTCCTGTTACAGCACCTCGACCCTGCCTTCCTAGACCTCGGTCCAAGAGATTCGGGAGCCCTCCGTAAATGGATTCCCTCCCTTCCCCCTACCCATCTTGGGATCTTCAAGAAGAGGGAAGGCAGGAGAGGCCTACGGCTCTTACCTTGGACTGCCTGAGCCTGCAGAAGAACCTGGGTCCTTGCCCTGGCCTGCTCCATGAGGGCCCAGACTCAGATGGTGCTTGGCTGGACAAGGGGACTGGAGGGGCCAAGACAGGGACAGCGGCCCCTCCCTGCAGCTAGAACAGCATCTCTGATTTATGCTGCCCCCACCACAGAGCCTCCACTTTGCACTAGCAAAGAACCCTGGGGGCCTGTAGCCACCCGTTCATAGGTGCCAAGTCAATAAAGCATTGTCCCCCCGTCTTTTAACTGAGGTCGGTGTTTGGGCACAAGTGCATCGTTTGTGGCAGCAGGAAAGACTCTGGTTAGGACTTGCTGGAGGAAAAGGCTTGGAGGTGGAGGGTGGTTCAAGAACACGGTCAGAGAGCTCTCAGCAGGCCCACACATCCTGGAAATGCTGACTCGCAGTGTCAGGCCTGGAAGGCCCCTAGAGGTCCCCTAGCCCATCCCCGCTTGCCTTTTGCACATAGAGAAATCTGGGTTCTGCAAAAGGAAGGGGTGTGCTCAAGGTCACATGGCAAGGTGCCGGAGTCACTAGAAGAGAAAAATCGATAGGAGGCAGAAAGGGATTTGAGGAAGAGCAAAGCAGCTTTGGGGCTTCCCCACAGGCTGCTCCTGGGGCACCTCACCTGGAGCTCCAGGGGCAGAGGGAAGTGGGGGATCCTGCCAGAGCCTCTCTCAGCCCCAGGGCGGGGGACTTGCCAGTAGCAACTCTCTAGGTCCAGCCTCTGCCCTCCAGGTCCAGCGTACAGGCTTTGTACTAATTTCCTATAGCTGCTGTACCAAATTACCACAAATATAGTGGCTTAAAACGACACAAACTTATCCTACAGTTCTCAAGGTCACTAGTCTGAAATGGGTCCTGGGCTAAATTCAGGGTCTCGGCAGGGCGGTGTTCCTTCTGGAGGATTTGGGGAAAATCCGTTTCCTTACCTTTTCCAGCTTCTAGAAGCTGCCTGCGTTCTCTGCCTGCCCATGACCTCCTTCCAGCCAGCAGTTGCATCACTCTGACCACTGCTGCCATTATCTCATCTCCTTTTCTGACTCCTGCCTCCCTCTTCCATCCTCTGAGGCCACTTGTGATTATATTAGGCCCACCTGGGTAATCCAGGCTAATCCCCCATCTCAAGGTCCTTAATTTAATCACACCTGCGAAATCCCTTTAGCTGTGTAAGGTAACAAATTCACAGGCTCCACGGATTAGGCTGTGGACATCTTCGGGGGGCCATTACTTCTGCCTCCCACAGGCTCCAAGCCTGGGTCCTGGCTCCCAGCCAAGGAGTGAGGCAGACACTTTAGCTCCAAACTCCATCAGCTCTTGGCAGTAATGGCTTTGTCTCCATTTGTCAGAGAGCTCTCTGAGACGCACTGTGTCACTGGAGGGAGGAGGACTGGAGGAATGAAAGGAATGAAAATGCTTAAGAATTCAGGGAGTCAGCACAGAGGGGCTCCAGCCACCCTGCAGCCCCCAAATTTGAGTGCAGCACACTCAGATTCTGCTTCACCCATGGTCACAGCCTCTCCAGCCACACCTGCATTTGAGTGTGTCTCTCCATTATCCTGAGAAGTGTCACAGCTTCCTAGCCCTGGACACTCCCTTCCCCTCTAAACAAAGTGTTTTCATCCACACTCTCTCAATTAACCCTGATAGCAGCTCTGTGAGGGAAGTATTATTGTCCCTTTTTACAGACAGGAACAACTGAGGCTCAGCAAGAGGAAATGGCCGAGTTTGCACAGTGGACCCAGGACTAGAACCTAAGATTCTTGATGCCCGTTAATACTGGTCACCAACATGCCTAGTTCTTCCCTTTCCTGGCCCCTGGTAGATTTGCACTTCCTGCCCTCCGGAAGTGAGGCATGGCCCTATGACATGCTTCGGCCAGTGAAATGTGTGTGGAAGTCTCTCCTCCCAGGCAGAGGCCATCAAGGACCCGACCAATTTGGCAACTTCGCTTCCTTCAGGGTGACCAGTGACATTCCAGATGGTGGAGGCTGCATCGATGTGTGTCCCTGAGTGAGGGCCACCTGGAGCAAAGCCTCCGTTGACTCAAGATGGACATAGGAAGGGAGGAATCCATCTTTGTTGTTGTAAACTACTGCGACTGCGCAGCCTAACCCAGCCCCTCCTGGCTGACACTCTCAGCCTCCTCAATTTTTGTCTGTCCTGTGGGGTTTTCTGAAACCTGTTTTCCAGCCAGTTATTAAGGCTGGATCTGCTCACTGTTTTATTCAGCACATTTGTTGTTCCCTGTGCCGGGGCCTACTGGAATGGAGAACACACAGATAAATAAGATGGAGCTTCTGACCTCGAGAAACTCATAGAGTAATCCAATGCTGATTTGAGTGCCCTGTGCTCTCCTGAAACTCAACCTGTCTCACTCAGAACTTTGTCACCTCCCCATGAACTTGGGTTTCTCTGTTTAGTAACTAGCACTACCAACCAATAGCTTAAGCTGGAAACCTGGGTGTTATCTCCAACAATCCCCACCCCCAAAAAACTAGTCACTAAATCCTATTGATTCTATCTCCCAGGCCCTGCTGGAAACTGTCCCCTTCTCTCCATCCCCACATCTCTTATCATGGCTTCCTCAGTGTCTTCCTGTCTCTAACCTATTCCCCACATCACAAGAACAGTGAATCGTCTAATGTTTACAAATCTGATGGTGCCACTCCCCTGCTTAAACCCCTTCCATGGCTCCCCAGTGCTCTTCCTCAACTCCTTAGCTCAGTTTACAAGGTCTGGCACAGCCTGGCTCTGCCTGTGTTTTTGGCATCATCCCTCACCACTTGCTGCCAGGATCTAGCCAGGCTGAACTACTTCTAATTCCTCTAATGTCTGGGCTCTCTTCCCACCGGGCCTCTGCACATGCTGTTCTCTCTGCCTGGAATACGCATCACCCTCTTCCCTCCTTCCCTTGAGTCAACTCTTATTTAGCCTCACATCTCAGCTTTCATTTTCTCCAGAAGGGCTTTGCTGCTACCACCCCCTCCCGGTCTGGACTAGGAGCCCGCATCACACCCTGTACCTCCCCAGAGACAGCACTCACCCCTGCATCTCAGCAGACTGCTGACTTCACGGTATCTTCCACTAGCCCGCGGGGCCTTTGAGGATTGGGTCTGGGTCTGTTGGGCCCAACTTTGTGCGTAGGAACTCACGCACAGAAGGTGTTCAAATCATATCTGTCAAGTGAATGGAGGATATGAGCAAATATTTCTGGAGCATCTGTGTGTTGGGCCAAGGGCGGAGCTGGAATCTTGGGCTGAGGAGCAAGAAGAGGTCTAGACCAGGTTCCCGTTTGCACAGCACAGAGATGATTTTCAAGAGAAGCTCGATGATACGCCATAGAACCTATCAATAGCCCAGAGAATTTGAGCTAGTGATTGGTGCCATGAAGAACACAAAGCAAGGGGTTGTGGTAGGGAGCGGGTGGTCAGAGAGGCCTCTGAGGAGGTGAGGCTTGACCTGGGCCTGAGTGGAGAGGGAGCTGACCATGAACCTTTTGGCTATGAAAAGGTTTGGGGAGACCATTCCAGGCCCATCGGTGGGGATTTAGCCTGGCCTGCAGAAGGACCAGCGAGAAGGCCATTGTGATTGGAGCAGAGAGGAGCGTGCTAAGAGCTGAGTCAGAAAAGCCGGTAAGGGCCAGACTGCTCAGGCCTTTCTAGGCTGTTGGGGGAGCAGGAGTTTTACTCTAAGGGCGATGAGAATCCATTGGAAAGTGATACAGGTGCCCCAGATGTCAGCCTCTTGAATATCTCCCACCTCCTTCAACTTGCTGAGTGCGCCTTGCCTCTTCAGATTTAATTAAAAGGACCCAGCCAGGTATCTCCCATTAAAGTCATGAAACCCAGCATCCCTACCCAAAACCTCATGAGTTCTTAGGGAGCGTAGATTCTGCTGAGCACCCCTGATCCTGCTGATTTGTGAATCTCCCATCCGCTTTTGCCTCCTCCATGACTCCTTTTTCCTGTTCACTGACTAAGCCCTTCACTCCTGAAGTTCCACCAATTCCAGGCTGTGTGTGCAACTGACTTGGCTGATGATTTGGAGCAAGGACCCAAGAAACAACTGAAAATTGAAAATCAGACACCCTGTTTTTAAAAAGCCCTTTTGGGGGCTGGCCCTGTGGCCTAGTGGTTAAGTTCAGCGTGCTCTGCTTTGGTGGCTTGGGTTTGGCTTCCAGGCACTGACCTACACCACTTGTCAGTGGCCATGCTTTGGCAGCGACCCACATACAAAACAGAGGAAGATCGGTGGAGATGTTAGCTCAGGGTGAATCTTCCTCAGCAAAATTAATTAACTAATTAATTAATTAATAATAAAGGGGCCGGCCCTGTGGCCAAGTGGTTAAATTCACATGCTCTGCTTCAGCGGCTCAGGGTTTTGCTGGTTCGGATCCTGGGCATGGACATGGCACCGCTCATCAAGCCATGCTGAGGCGGCGTCACACATGCCACAACTAGAAGGACCCACAACTAAAAATACACAATTATGTACCGGGGGGCTTTGGGGAGAAAAAGGAAAAATGAAATCATAAAAAAATAATAAGCCCTTGTGCATTCACATACACCACCACTATCACCACACACATACACATTCCCAGGTAATTTTCACTCATTTTCTCTACTCCAGCCCTTATATCCTACCCCAGTGGGGGGACTCTCCCTCTCTCCTGTAACCTCCTTCCTTCTCCTCCCTTGTTTGCAAACTCTCTGACTCTCACATTTTTGCTCATTGCTTTTTTTTTTTGGAGGAAGATTAGCCCTGAGCTAACTGCTGCCAATCCTCCTCTTTTTGCTGAGGAAGACTGGCCCTGAGCTAACATCCATGCCCATCCTCCTCCACTTTATATGTGGGATGCCTACCACAGCATGGCGTGCCAAGCAGTGCCATGTCCGCACCCGCGATCTGAACCGGTGAACCCTGGGGCTGCCAAAGCGGAATGTGTGCACTTAAGCGCTGCAGCACTGAGGTGGCCCAACTCATTGCTTTTATTTAAAAAAAATAACAGGTTTATTGAGATAATTCACATACTGTAAAATTCATTCTTTTAAACTGTACAATTCAGTGGTTTTTAGTAAATTCGCAGGTTGTGCAACCATCACCACTAATTCCAGAACATTTCATCACCCCCATCCCCCCAAAAAATTCATACACATTAACACTTACTCCCCATTCCCCACTCCCCTCAGCCCCTGGTAACCACTAATCTACTTTCTGTCTCTATGGATTTGCCTATTCTAGATATTTCATAGACTTGGAATCATGCAATGTGTAGCCATTTGTGTCTGGCTTCTATCATTTAACATAGCGTTTTCAAGTTTCATCTGCATTGCAGCATGGATCAGTACTTCATTCCTTTTTATGGTGAAGTGATAGTCCTTTGTATGGACTCACCAAACTGTGTTTATTCAGTCATCTGTTGATGGACACTTGGGCTGTGTCCACCTTTTGGCTGTAATGAATAATGCTGCTATGAACATTCATGTACAAGTATCTGAGAATCTGTTTTCAATTCTCCCAGGGATTTACCCAGGAGTGGAATTTGCTGGGTCATATGGTAATTCTATGGTTAACATTGAAGAACTGCCAAACTGTTTTCTATGGTGGTTGTACCATTTTACATTCCCACTTGCAATGCGCAAGGGTTCCAATTCTCTACATCCTTGCTGACTTTTGTTATCCCCTCCCTCCCTTTATAAAAAATTCTAGCCATCCTAGTGGGTGTGAAGTGTTAACTCCTGGTTTTGGTTTGTTTCCCTATTAATAACTAATTATACTGAGTATCTTTTCTTGTTCTTATTGGCTATTTGTATATCTTCTTTGGAGAAATGTCTCTAAGTCCATTGCCCATTTTTCAATCAGGATCTTGCACATTTCTTTTTTTTTAATTAATTAATTAATTAATTAATTAATTTGAGGAAGATTAGCCCTGAGCTAACTACTGCCAGTCCTCCTCTTTTTTTGCTGAGGAAGACTGGCCCTGAGCTAACATCCATGCCCATCTTCCTCTTCTTTAAACCTGGGACGCCTACCACAGCATGGCGGTGCCAAGCAGTGCCATGTGCGCACCCGCGATCCGAACCGGCGAAGGCCGGGCCACAAAGAAGCGGAATGTGGGAACTTTGCTGCGCCACCAGGCCGGCCCCTCTTGCACATTTCTTATGCAGAACTGTCTAGCTATCTTGTTTACTGCTTAGCCTCCAGGACCAGCTTTCCACAATTGCCATTTTTGTTTTGCTAATCAAAGCTGGCTCTCCTAATTGGAATTCTGCAGCCACTTACAAAACTAAGTCGTTTTGTTTCCCATCCCCATTTGTGTACCACTGTCGCATTTCACTGTCCCAAACTGAGAGGCGGAGGTGAATCGTTCTGATTTTACACATGAGGATTTAGGGATTGGCCAGGATCACACAGCTAGCTAACTAGGGGGCAGGATTTGCACCCTGAACGGTCAGACTCCAAAGAGCCCTACGCTCTTTCTACTAACTAGTACTATCCTGTCTCATGACCGCCCTGGTGTTTATCCTCATCTCCACTGTAGGGAAGGGGAGCCAAGGGTCAGAGAAGGGTCAAGAGTTTTTCTGGGTCACACAGAAAGATCAGGGACCAGGTCTTGGGACTGCCACCTCAGCCCGCAAAGCCTCCTCCCAGCTCCACCGGCCCAGCCGCGTGGACCGGGACGAGTGGCGTACCTCGGCCCTTCAGGCCCGGTCCGGTCACGCCTTCCTGCTGAGTCACGGCCGTCGGGCGGGGCGGGGCGGGCACGGTGCGCAGGGTAGAGGAGGCTAGGGCCGATCTCGCGTGGGAACCGAAGCCCCACCCCTGGCTCCACAGTAGCCTTCTGATTGGAGAGCCTGGGAATAGCACGGCCAATCACAGCAAACTGAGGAGCGTGGGCGGGGCGGTGCCAAAGGCAAAGGAGACGCCCACTCCTCCCCTGGAAGCCGCCCTACCCGGCGCGCCCCTCCGGGGTTTTGGGAGTGTCCAGGGCTCGCCACTGGAAGGGAGGGGTTAGCTGGACCTCGGTTGCAGAGCTGTGGTGCGGCGTACGCGGGGACAAGAAGGAAGGCTCTGGAAGGGCCCTCGAGAGCCTAGGGTGAAGGCGACCTCTTCTAGTCTGTGCAGCCATTTGCGGTTTACAAGGGCGCTTGGCCTCCGAATCGGGCGGGCTGGGCTCTTTACTTTTGTTCTCAGAGGGGAAGATTAACGTACAGAGGCCTGTTAAAATTGTAAAGTCAGTTTTCTATAAAAGTGGGATTAGCAAGGGGTGGGCCCGGACACTCGCAGACATGCGCACTAGACTGATGGTTTAATACAACCGACTGAGTAGAGGCACCCCAGCGAAGGCATGGGGATGCGGGGTCACGCTGAGGATGGGGACCCTGTCGTCTCCGGAGTTGACCCTGAGGGCCTTTGCGATGTACACAAGGCGGCGAGGGTGGTCTCCGGATCTCAGCGGTTTGCTTCTCAAACTCATGTAGTCAAGGCCTTGTGCCCTGGCTCCCGTGCTGGCCCTGCCCTGCTCTCCACCCACCCCGCCTCTGCTCTTGATTTGTCTGGGTGGACTACAGTTTATCTTGCTCCTTGCAAGTCTTTCTTCCTTTCCAGCTCACTCAGCTGCTCAGCTAGGATTTGAGCCCCTTCCTTGTGTCAGACAGGGGTCAAAAGGCCCATTACTGGGCAAACCAGGTCCTTGCTCCTCCACGGTTTACAGTGTAGTTGGGAGACTGACTAGTGGTAACATCAAAGCCTGATGCGAGTTGCAGTGGGGAAGAACAGAGTGCTAGCTCAGGGGCTGGTTGCAAGGACCCCTAACTTAGTCTGGGGAGTGGGTCCAGGGAACGCTTTTGGAAGAAAATAACTTCTAACGAGAGGAAAGTGAGCCTGGCCTTATGAGAGGAAAGGAATGAGAATCAGATGGCTGGAACAGAGGTTTGGGAGATGGTGGATTGAGATGGGAGGAGAGCCATGTAGGCTCATTAAAGATAATGGAGATTATCCTGAGGGTACTAGGAAGCTAATTAGAGGATTTTAAGCAGAGGAGATACATAATAAGATCTGAATTTTAAAAATGGGCATCCTGTGGAGAAAAGATAGATGGTAGGGGAGATAAGAGATAAGACAGAAGCAGGGGCACCAGTTTGGAGACTGCTGCAATAATGCAGGGGAGAGATGATGATGGTTTGGTCTCTGGTGGTATAGAGACGGGGGTATAGAGGTATAGACGTGGTGGACGTGGTATAGAGACAGTGAGCACAGGCTGAATTGCTGACCTGTCCAAAGGGGGCTCCTTCCCTGGGGCCCCATTTATTTATTTGTTTATTCTCTCATTCAACAAATATTTGAGCACCACTCTGGGCCAGAAGTTATGCCTAGTCTCCCAAGGAGAGGGGCTGCTGTCTGACCCAGTCAGAGGGTGGGAGGGAAGGGGTGACGGCTGCGGAGAGCTTGGTGCACACCTCACCGTGACTCCACAACTGCACACCATTTGGACACTGACGAGGGGGTTCCTACGTGTTCTTCCTTTCACCAGGGCTTCGCCTCATCTCTGCTGCTCGCCAGCCAGAGATCATTCTTCATATTTGGCAGATGGAGAAACTGATGCTCAGAGAAGAGACTCACCTGCCCAGGGTCCCTCGCCTGAGCTAGAGGCCGACTTGGAACCTGGGTATCCAGATTCTCCCTGGCTTCTCTTCCTACTGCAGTCTGGCTGCCCACATTTGGCTTGTTTCAGGCTTGGACAGCCCTTCTGCCACTGTCAGGCAGGAGGAGAAGCTGCAGACAGAGGGGCGCCTGCTGCCTGTCTCTCTGAGTCCCACTCCTGCCCCGAGATTGCTGTATTATTAGCAACAGCCACGGCTGCGCAGAGCTGCAAAGCCTCTAGCTTGCCAGGGGACTTTGCATGCACTATCTCATTTGATCCATCTGGCCGCACTAGGAAGTGAAAATTATTATCCCCACTCTACAAGTGAAGAGACTGAGGCTTAAAGACATGAACTATTATGCATCTGTTGAGCTCCATCGAGGTTCAGAGACACACAGCTAATATGTATCCATTGAGCTATGATCCCCTGCTACTGTGCTGGGCTCTGGAAGATGCAAAGATGAATGAATGGGACCTGGGCTCTGCCCCAAAGAGGAGACACTCTATAGAGATAGAATGTATATACATTCCCCGCTCTTGTATAAGACTCCAGTGTGTGGGGCTTTGGAGAAGAAGTGTCACGGGCTTAGAGGCAGAAGAAGAAATCACTCCTAGTAGTTCCGGGGATGGGGCTGGCCCGGTGGTGCAGCAGTTAAGTCGCACGTTCCGCTTCGGCGGCCTGGGGTTTGCTGGTTTGGATCCCGGGTATGGACATGGCACCGCTTGGCAAGCCATGCTGTGGTAGGTGTCCCACATATAGGGTAGAGGAGGATGGGCATGGATGTTAGGTCAGGGCCAGTCTTCCTCAGCAAAAAGAGGAGGATTGGCAGCAGATGTTAGCTCAGGGCTAATCTTCCTCAAAAAAAAAAAAAGTTCTGGGAAGCCTTCTGGAAGAGGGAGTGTTTAAGCTGGAGTTGAAGACCACAAATTTGGAAAGGTGGGGATAGGGTGATGGGTCCCTTCTACGTCCTCTCCCAGCATCCTGGGCTCACCCCTCTCATCACATGTCATTATTTGTCTCACCTACGAGCTTTTATGCATTTGTAGGCACTCAATGTTTGAATGAATGAAGGGGTAAATGATGGGCAGAGAGGCAGGATGAGGCCAGTTTGCAGGTGGCCTTCGTGATCAGGAGGGTCTCTTGCAGCCCCATTGTGGAGGGCCACCATCTGGGTCAGAACCCTTAGACACTGAGGACAGAGCGATGGAATATGTCCTTTCCTCCTGGTGCGGCAGGGCTCGGCACACAGCATAAGGGCTCAGTGTTGAGGTTTGGGGGAGAGGGGAGGTGGATAGGACTCCTTAATTGGTGGGACCTTTATCACTGGGGTCACAACCTACTCTCCTGACTTACTACTCTCAGCCCAAACAGCTTGGCCAGATTTTTGGAACTGTCCCAAAGGGTGCTGGGAACAGAAGGCATCTGTTACCTCCAAGTTCTTGTTGGACCTGAAGGGCACCCTTAATGCCGGGTTATCCAGGTCCCTGTCTCTGTGGAGAGGGGAAAAGATCAGGATCACTGAGGATTGGGGTGGTTCTTCCCATTTGAAAGCATGAGAATGACGACTCTGCGGAGCTCAGTGGCTGCCAAACCTCACAGCTAGTGAGAGGCAGAGGGGCGGGGGAGGGAGTCCATGCCTTCAAAGCAGCCCCCTTCTCCGACCTCCTGCTGCCCTTGAGGAAGCCACTCCTCAGTCTGGCTGTGGGCAGACAGGGTCAGCTGGCGGAGCTTCCCGCAGCAGGTCGTGCAGATGGAAGAGAGGCCCCAGCTGCCTGGCCTGGAGGCCACTGCCTTCCCAGAGCAGCGATCCATCTTGCACTGATTGGGTCCAGCCCAGCAGCTCTGGGATGAGCCATGGGCACCTGGCCAGGCTGCTCAGCACCTTCTCTCCCCGTCTCTGTCTCAGGCAGTCTGTCTTCCTGTCTGTCCCTCTGTTGGATCCTTGTCTCTCTCTCTCTGTGTCTGTGTCTCCACCACTGTGTATCTGTCTCTCCACCATTACTCTTTTCTCCTCTGTTCTCTTTGTCTGCCTCAGGGCCTCCTCCCTGGCCTTTCCCCTGCTCCAGGAGTAACGCTAGGCATCTAGTCCCTCAGGAATCACGGTTGCCCCACTCCGTCTGATGCCTCTCCTCAGCCACCTGCATGACCCAGTGGATAAAAAAATGACAAAGCAGGGGAATACCGTGGTCAGGCCCTAATCTGTTCAAGTCCTTGGCTTCCTCTTCCCTCGTTATGAAGCTCGAGAGGCCTGAGTTGTCCCCGTCTTAGAGGTGGAAGTGCTGGGCCAGAGATCACAGTTAGGGGAGCAAGATGTGATGGTGGCAGGGCCACTGTGCCAGACAGAACTGAAAGATGTGAAGGTCCAAGCCACTTGGTGCCCTGCCACGACGCTGCTTCTTCCAGACGCCTTGGGCAAACCCCGCCCTTGGGGCTCCAGCCTTGCCCTTTGCCTAAACCGCCGTTTCTGGTTGGCATTCCTGAGGACTTCAGCCCCTGCTTGTAGATTGTCTCCTTCCCAAGGCCCTGCCTCATTCTGGGGGATTCCAGCATCCACAGGACACAGCATCTTCCGCCGGAGCCTCTCAGGGGAACCTCCTCAAATTGGGCCTCACCCTAGCCCATGTCTACTCCCCAGAATTTTCTGTGGGTCTTGGTGGGCCTCCCAGAATGATGCCCTACTCTCCTGATCCTCTGGCACCCCCACTTCACTGCACCCCTCTACTGTTCTGCTGTGTCCCCAAGGCCTCCAGCCCCTGCTCCCCTCCTGGCCTCTGTTTCCCCCAGCTCACGGGGTCCTTGGCCAATCCCAGCGCTCATTCCTTTGATATACTGGACTCCCTGTCCCCTGGTTCCTTGGCCATAGCTGACCACTGCCTGCTCTGGGTCGTCTGACTTCAACCTTCTCAGTTCACAGCCTACCCTGCTGAGGGCTGCTGGAGAAAACCACAGGGCCGGGCAGATGGGGGTCCCTGTGTGCATGGCCTCCAGGCCCAGCTGGTTCTCAAATGGCTGGCCTTTCCCCAGCTCACTCCCCCACCCTCCCTAGAAGCTCCTTCAAACCTTCCGCCTGTTCGCCAGCCTCCCCCCCCTCCTCCTCCCATGACTCAGCAGATGACTTCAGCTTCTCCTCCTCAGAGAAAGAGGTTCCCAGGAACCTCCCTACTCTCCA